AAACAAAAATTGTTCATACAGTAGACACTCGATAGTGTGAACATCGCATAACAGAAACCTCGCACAAGGTGGAAAGAGTGAACAAGATGTTAATTATACTAGACCACCGTATACCGTGAACAAACTAAATCTTCGCTAATGGAAACAAACACAACTATTTATAGGGTGGTTTCGACAAAAATCAGGTGTTTTGAAGTGGAATGAGTGTGATAATGAACTTGAAGTTGAAGATACTGAACACTGTCAAAGCGATGAGATTGAGATAGCCTAGGAAATACCGGAATCAACTCCATCGGTTCCAGAGTGCAGAAAATTAAAAATCCCCGAAAATAAAATATACATTTCTGACTTCTTTAACAAACAAACAATATTTTTTTTTTACTATTTTATGTTCGATATGTTGGTTATAAGAAGTTCTTACATATTATACCCGGTCTTCAACAATGATTGAAAACCACGTGACAGATTACTATGCAACCAAGAATACAGTCGTATCTCTTTACCATGGGTGGAAAAGAGACACCGCATTGAGAACGGTCACGTGGCATTCAATCGACCGTTTTATATTGTCCACTTAAGTGAATAAATCGATAATGTGAACGGACGTTCATTTTTTTCCGTTCACACTATCGAGTGTCTACGGTATTTCCCATTCAATCGCCGTCTTGCAGATTTTAGTTTTCACCCGCTGCTATTGAACAGCTTCAATTTCAATAAAATATCGCTACTACGAATAAACAAAAGAATATTGACAGCTGATAAGACCTCTAACCTTGCCAGTGCCATCTGCTGGAGCTTAAACAATAGGTCTCTGCCTTTACGAACAAAATACAACAGCACAACTGTCACTTCCATAAACTTCACCGTTCCCCGTCTAAAAAGCGTATGCGCATCAATACACACACAAAAAACTTAATAACGCAGATGTTGCTGATAGGAGTTCAATGGCCCAAACCGATCAGATTGTGCAAACATTGCGCTTGCGTATTTTCAATTACGTTATTTTCAGGATCACACCTATAGACTTGCTAACAAAATCGAATTTAACGCCCCATCAGGTAACATCGTTCTGATTGGTCTTGTACAGATGTTTGGGCAAAACGAATGTCGATGTTGCTGCCGATTGTTCTACCTCAAAGTGTGACCGTATTCATTGATCGATAGTAATCAAACAAGATGTTCCAGTTTTAAAATGGTTAAACATCACAGGCGTATAGATGAGCTGATTCTCAGGTGAAGAGTTCTCTAAAATTATTAGTCTTATGATGTCTTCAGAAGCAGAAATAACATTTTCTGCAGACTATAGAGGATGAGTTGGGAATAACAAACCAAACTCTAGCAGTATATAGCTTCGAGTCCTCTGAGCAAAGATTTATAAATTGTGAACTAACCTGGAATATACAAATGAACTATCCAATATTTGACCATCAAACTTTTACATTCTGTTGTTGTTGCATCATAAAATTTATTGATGGAAACGTGACGGCACATTCTTCGTAGGTATTGTTTTCTGTGTAGTATAGTGTCCACTATTCAATTCGACAACTCCGACATTTCTCGTAGCCATTGCGTGGACCACAAAAAAGGGTGGTTTATATTTTTCGTGAGTTTCATTGCTTATTTGTTAAATTCAATGTGGAATGGTTCCTCAGTACCAAGTGTACAAGGAACTAGACCATTGATTTGTTGCCAAAAGGAGTAATTATACTTCGTTGACAAAGAGGTTGGATTGGTATTCCTTGTCATCCTCACGAAACCATTGGGAAAAAACGAATGTTGAGATGATGACGACACTATATTCCCGCTGATATATCTTATTAATGATAATGATACATCATTCAAGCTCAGTACTACTTGCACATAAATCAAAATCACTATGTGACAATATTCCCATTCCAGTCTCTCAAAGATGACTCTAGATTGAAACTGACTAACAGTTAACACGAAATAAATGCTTGAGTGGAGGCTTGATGCTTCATTATGATTTTTTTCTGAGATTAATGTTTTTGTCTTCAAAATATCAATCTATAATACGGATAACATTCAGAACGATCGTTCAGCGCCAATTGACGTGGGTAGCCTCTCTGCCTCAACACATACAACACATGTATATTATTGACATACATCATATTAATTTTGTTATAAAAACTTTGAAAAAATAGTAGATACAGAATGGGGAATAGGTATGTACAGTCGCATTAAAAAAAAAAAGCGTACTAGTATATTACAGAGAGAAATTAACGTCATCCTATTCTGCATAAAACGGGCTATCGGGGATGCTTGTTCACCAAATGTTGAGAGTAAAGTTGTCATAGGTTCTCGAAAACACAAAGCATTGGCTGAGCCAGTTTTACACAACTAGAACTAGTATCCCGAAATCCTCTCTTTTTAATACTTGTACGCTAATTTATTGAATACGACTGTACTTCTACTGATTGAAAAGATGAGCCAACAAAAGAAGAAAAATGTGCATATAACTTGTGGAAACATTCAGGAGTCATCTTGAAATGGTTCTGAAAGGTCTTTGTATTGAATCTTGGTTTAACAATCTCATGAAAATTTTCACTCTTTGGGACTTCTTCATCACATATTCAGTATGTATATCCATAATTTCATGAAGAATGTCAGGTATCTTCTTATCCAACAAATATGAGTTTCAATGCACTTTTCATTTCCATATTCAATATTATGATACTCACTGCATGATTCACTAAAATATTCTCCATTAATAGATGTTATAAAATAACATCATCAGTACTTAGGGAATGATTATTGATTAGTCATAGTAAAAATATTATTATTCAATATGTATTAACAATCCAATTGATCCAATCCAAAGATCCAAAAATTGTTATAATCTGTATGTTGATCGTGTGATATTGTGATTGTATGTGGTTGGCACACGGTTGTCATCACATCAATGTAATTCTTCTTTCTTTGCCGTTTTATTCGTTTCTACACGATTTCTACAGAATCACAAAAAAATGCAACTTTTCAGGATGACCGTTGAGCACCAACTGACGTAGCCTCTGCGCCCCTCATCCGCAAACGTCACACCGCACCAGCCCCTCAGCACATACAAGAAAACTTACTCACGTAGATGTTGCTGTAGCTGGCGAGCTTCATATGCGCCAGCTGCGAGGCGCGCGTCAGGTTGGTAGAGCTGCCGAAAGAGCTTACTCCTTACTCTTATGTCGTCAATCATCTCTATCTGAATACTATCTAAACTACTCAACACTAATTTCGTCGCACACCAAAATGTCGCCCCTGTTATAATGTGAATAACTTTTTTCAGTTCAGAACAATTTGAATCTGGTTCACACTGTTCGATAGCCCAGTCCTTCAGCTATAATCTCGTACTTCATTGAAACATAAGGGTATTCACATAAAATCTCTACATGGTGTTTTCCGACACTGTGCAAAATTTCGGAATATTCAAAAGGCTCTCAAATGGTGAAAAATGTTTTTTTTCTCAACTTCGACAACAGAGGCATGAAGATGATCTCATCACCTCGAGATATTTCGCGAATCAACTTCCTATCTCTCTTATTTACAGAGTGATCTCGAAAAATCAACTTTTTGGTTTTGCAGCCATAACTTTTTTCCACGTTAACCGATTTTGGAAATCTTAGGCTCATTTTGAAGATTAAACTTTAGATGAAGAGATCTGAATATCAGAATTGACTCAAGATGGCTATCAAAGATCTAGAGTTTTCTTGAAAGTGACCCAAATCTAGAACGCCCTCCAAATCTCGGTTGGGAGGAGAATTGAATGAAAATCAATTTGTTCTCGGAAAAACAGTTCATTCTGGATGCGTCCATATTTTCCTCGCTCTCAGTAGTCAAGAAAGTGCGTGAGAAAACACAAGTGAAACAGGTTCTTGCAGAAACATCAGATCATTTCTCCTCTGTAATGCATGGCCCGTAACCAACGTTACAAGAATCACAGTAAGTGACTGACAAGTCAAGTTAGACGTCGTTTTCGAATCATAATCAGATGTCGATAGTTTCGATGCCGCATCTAACGCGAATGTGGGTGACAACTTTGTTCTTGTTGATGACAATGCGAGACCGCATAGGGTTGTTGGTACATCATTTATAATGAGCCTTAGCTGGTCGGGTTTGTCAGTCCATTGTGATTCTTGTAACGTTGGTTACGGGCCATGCATTACAGATGAGAAATGGTCTGATGTTTTTGCAAGAACATGTTTCAATTGTATTTTCTCACGCACAATTCTTGACTACTGAGAGCGAGGAAAATATGGACGCATCCTGAATGAATTGTTTTTCCGAGAACGAGTTGATTTTCATTCAATTCTCCTCCCAACCGAGATTCGGGGGGCGTTCCAGATTTGGGTCACTTTCTGATAATCAGATCTCTTCATCTGAAGTTTTATCTTCAAAATAAGCCTAAGATTTCTAAAATCGGTTGACGTGGAAAAAATTTATGACTGCAAAACCAAAAAGTTGATTTTTTGAGATCACTCTGTAAATAAGAGAGATATGAAGTTGATTCGCGAAATATCCCGAGGTAATGAGATCATCTTCATGCCTCTGTTGTCGAAGTTGAGAAAAAAAAAATTCCCATCATTTGAGAGCCTCTTGAATATTCCGAAATTTCGCACAGTGTCGGAAAACACCATGTAGAGATTTTATGTGAATACCCTTATGTTTCAATGAAATACGAGATTATAGCTGAAGGACTGGGCTATCGAACAGTGTGAACCAAATTCAAATTGTTCTAAACTGAAAAAAGTTATTCACATTCTAACAGGGGCGACATTTTGGTGTGCGACGAAATTAGTGTTGAGTAGTTCAGTACTTTGATATCATTGGACTATTAGATGAATGGTTTTTGATTCAAAAATATCAATCTATAATACGGCCAACTTTCAGGATGATCGTTCAGCACCAACCGACGTAGCCCTCACCCATAAACGTCAAACCCCGTCCGCAGCAGCACTTCGACAACCTCAGCACATACAAGAAAACCTACTCACGTTGATGTTGCTGTAGCTGGCTAGCTTCATCTGCGCCAGCTGCGAAGCGGGCGTCAGGTTGGTCGAACTGCCGAACGGCGACATCATCGACGAGACGGCGCGCTTCAGCTTCGAGGGCGTTTTGTTGAAGGAGAAAGCGCGACCGACCTTGAGCCGCGTCGTCGCGTACTTAAACGCCTTTGATAGGGTTCCATTGCCGCTGCTCACATCGCTCGTTCCGATGTCCAGCTGCTGCGGCTCCAAGTAGGCCATGAATTTGTCCTGGAAGATATTTTGAAGCTTGTCACCAAGAAGACAAACAGAACCAATGGGAAATATACAAAAAACGAAGAAACAATGTTGCAAATCTACCGAATTGCAAAAAACAGCAATACTATTGTGAGGCTTCGAGGGCGTCTTGATGAATGAATTTTGTGATTATTGGAAATGGAACGAATTGTGTGTCTACTAGATTCATAGCCTAGAGACAAATATATTAAAATTCTTATTTTCAACTTCCAGTGAAAAATTTAAAAAAAAAAGCTGCGGTCCAGTTTTGGTTATATTTTGCTCGCAGCTTCCCCAGGTACGAGAATCACGACACGCCACTGCTTTGGATTCAATTCAATTCAATTCATTTATTCACCGTATTGGTCTCCTTCACAGGACACGACACACAACTACAACTAATAATGATAGCACCTCATCCTAATATATCTACAGATATAAATATAAAATACTCGATAAAATGTATATGAAATTATACCTAGAAGGAGTGACAAAAGAATTAATCTAGCCCATGAAATGTGTTTTCTATAAGAATTCTCCTGAGCTCTCTCTTGAATTAGTAAATACTGTCAATTGTCGTACATGCATGGGTGAGGGATTATAAATACATAGTGGCATGATGTAACAGCTGTTATTAGTCAAGGTTAATCTATGCTGGGGAATATCCAGTTTGTCGGAGTCTCTCAGAGTATTTTTGTATATCAACAACAATCTGAAAATTTTCCAATATGATTTTTGACATAAACTGCACACTGTAATACATAAATTGAAGCCATAGTCAACAGTTGTAGCTCCTGGAACAATGGCCGACAAGACTTCTGATGAGGTTTACCAAACATACTTCTGACAATTCTTTTTTGTGCCAGTAAAATTTCTTCAACTCTACTGCAGTAACCCCAGACCACAACTGCGTAACTTGAAAGAGAATAAACATATGCATAATAGTATGATATTAGGATATGTTTATCGACGAAGCTTCCGAGTTTCCAAATGACAGAGTTGTGGTAGCAAAGCTTCTCCAGAATAAAATCGACATGTGAAGACCATGACAACTTCTCATCAATATTGATTCCAAGGAATTTGGTAGTTGATAGCTGTTTGATTGTATGTTCATTTTCATGAACATAAAGGGACTGATCATTGTCTCTGGTACTAAAAACCATCATCACTGTTTTCGGCAAATTGAGAACTAAGTTATTTTGAATGTTGTATTCAAAAGCCTGTCTAGCACATTCACCCACACTGGACCTAAAGTTGGTCACGTCACTCGTGCCGATGTCGAGTTGCTGCGGCTCCAAGTAGGCCATGAATTTGTCCAGGAACGAGGATAAAATGGGACATGAAACTACAAGATTGGTTATCTTTTCATTTTATAGTTCCTCGAAAAATAATGAACTTCAATCGTAGAATGGGCGCCACCGAAGATCTACTGGAGATCTACTTGCCTACGTCACCCATTTATGGCAATCTTCAATGGAAAAACACGGGGAATCTCTAGCTGTCGCGTTGGACATATCGTGTTTGGCACGAAGGACTCCTCCACAAACTACCATCATTCGGCTTACCACCTCAGCTATGCCATCTCTTATCGAGTTTTCTTTCAGGCAGATCGCTTCACGTGGTGGTGGACGGTGTATCGTCTGATACCATTGGCATCAATTCCGGTGTTCCACAAGGATCAATTTTGGCACCAACATTATTCCTGCTTCATATCAATGATCTGTTGGGAGTAACAACTTGCCCCATCCACAGCTTTGCAGATGATAGTACGACGAATTCCCATTTCTTCCCAGGAAACTAAGAACTCACGGCGCAGGCAGGTCAATGCTGTCAATGAAGATCTTGCTGAAATCACAGCCTGGGGAACGAACAACCTAGTTGAATTCAACGCCACCAAAACTCAAGCCTGCATTTTCTCTAGAAAGGCGGAACTCAGTATACCCGATATTGTAATGTCTGGCTCCACCATCCCCACCAAGCCCACCATATCTATGCTCGGTATTACCATCAGCAACACTCTTTCATGGGATAATCATGTCAGATCCATCGCAAAAGCTGCTTCACAAAAACTCGGATTCTTGTTCCGTGCGAAAAGCTACTTTACACCTCAACAGCTTCTCATGATCTACAAAGCGCAGATACGGCCTGTTCTAGAATACTGTTCCCACATATGGGGTTCAGCACCAAAACATACGCTGATGCTCTTAGATTCCATCCAGAGAAGAGCCATTCGCCTGGTGAGTGACGCCACACTCACTCACTCTTTGACATCATTGGAACACCGTAGAAAGGTCGGCGACCTTTCACTTTTCTATCGATACTTCCACGGGAAATGTTCTTCGGAAATCTCTGCAATCATCCCTTCACTAGCAATACCAATCAGACGAACAAGACAAGCCCAGTCAGCACATCCTTTTGTTGTCAACCTCGAAAGATGTCGAACAGAACTTTATCAAGACTCCTTCATCCATAGAACGGCTAGGCTCTGGAATTCATTGCCCGTGGAAGTATTTCCAACAACATATAATCTCCAAAAATTCAAAAAAAATTCCAATACCTACTTCCTGTCCCTATCCTCCCTAGGAACGCACGATGTTCTATGAACATTATAGGGATTCCCTTTCGTGCGCTCCAATCGATAAAAAAAAAACAAAAAAAGAATCTGATTGCTATCGAATTGGCAAAATCTGAACTAGTCAGTCTTCAAACAAACAAATAGTAACAACCATTTGGTAATTCAAAGTAGGGGTGTTTGAGGTGAAGGGGAAGAACATAGCATTCAATCGATACTGGTATTTTATTTCCCACTTGATATCTGAATCGACCTATTTTTCCTGAAAGATCAGAAGGTATGTCTCAGAATATATAAGAAAGAAATCAAAAAGATAATGTAACAACAGACATTCCTTGTGAGAGTTCCTTTCATTCTTCTGTGACCGACTGTGATACATCCATCTTCGTGATGGCTGCTGTTGCAAGTGCTAATAATTGTGTCTGTATTTCTACTTGTTTGAGGAACCCCATGAACAGGTTTAGGTAAAATGCAAGAAGTACTCACCGCATCTGCCGTACACGCGTTATTCGCCATTTGCCTGGTGAGTGTCCTCAGAAAGCCCACTTTGTCAGCCTCTTCGTCGGCCATCGCGAAAGAATACAGCTTCTCTTTGAGATCTTCGTTGTTCCTGCACACGAAACATCTTATTATCTTATATATATTTCTTCATCTTTATCTAGGTGCGATCATGATTCGATTCGTGATTCCAAGGTTTTGAATTGATTATTTTTTCCAGTTATCAGAATAACAAAGGTATAAGTATCACGTTTTTATCCAACATTCTGCTTTATTGACTTGGAATTTGAATTCTGAACCAGTTCACGAAATGTTGTACCAACCATCAGCCGATTTCGTTTGGTCATTTTAATATATTATCAAATTTATCTTATACATTCGTTTTGTAGAATGGCAAAGAACGAACAAATAAAATGATAATTGATTCGTTTTAATATTTTTCAGACACAAATCGTCATATTGAAAAAAATCGAAGAATCATGACATCATTATGTACTTAACCACTTCCGGTTTCAGCGACGTCTACCTCGAATTTTCACTGTTATGACCCATTGCAAAATCATATTACCTGAGACTTATATGGTTCGATGTCTAGTCCATGTTTACATGGGTACTCAAAAAAAAAACGATTCAAAGTTTGATTCACATCCAAGCATGCATCAGGTTCTAACTCTTAAGGGAGAACTTGAGTATTATGAGCAAGATGATCAATTATTGTAAAATCTATAGAATTATTGTTGAGATCCACTGTACAGATTAGAAAGAGAAGAGGGTAAGTATTTAACCACACAGATCACTTTTTTCAACTAATCTAGCTAATCAGATTATTATCAACATGTTGGCATCTGTAAGAAACATGGCTTTGTAACAGTCTGACTATTGACTAACCTTCAGAAAAGCCTCAAACAGAATTTTAGCCAGAAGAAAAATGTGTTTCTTTTAAAAATATCTCAATAGATTCATTTTTTTTAATTCCATTTAATCAGGTACTCCCTTCATTCAGAAAATGTACCTAACTTTGTGCCTAGTCACCTCTCTCCCCAAACTATGTCATTTCTACTTTATGAGAATTTTCAAAGAAACATATTGCAATTTAGCTCAAAACTAGATTAATAGAAATACTCTTTTTGTTTCTAATCAGAACAAAAAATTTTAAAACTGCCAGATGAGTAAATGAAAAAAAAAACACCTAACACATGTTATATTCGGCAATTTTTTGAGATGTTGTGGCATATATTGCTGTTTTTAGGAACATGTCGAAAAGTTATGGAAATGATGTATGTATGAACTCAAGATTCTTTCAAAACCGTAAAACTAACAGCTCAGGAAAAAAATCTATCAACAAAATCGGCGATGAGAAATTGATTCAAAGTATTTTCAAGTTTCTAAAATAACCGGCAGGGAGCGAAGTTACAACACAAAACTCAAAGACCTAGAAGAAATATCGTTCTACTCAAGTGTTCCCTAACGTAGCTCGAACGGCAAATGTGAGCATGCGCAGTAAAGACGCGACCATGCCAGCGGCAGATTCTGAATTATTTGATTAATGATGAAAAAGCAAAACATTGAGAAAAATTCACATGATATTTGTTATGATGAATTCCATTATGTAATTAGGAGTAATGTTTCGATGTATTTTCCATCAACTGTGTTCATTGGATAGAAATGGGTGAGCTAATATACAGGGTGATTCAGGCTATATTAGCAAAAATTCACCTTGGTTCATCAAAAAAATGAGGCGGCATGCGTATTATAATTTTTTTAAAAAGCTATTTCATATTGAAAAATCATCTTATATTTCTTGATACAAAAATCTGTATTTTAGTGACCTCATGCCTGATTATCATTCTGATTCTAAGAATTATCATTCACTGTAACTTGAAAAGTGGTATTATTCAAAAACTGTAACGTTGATAAAAGACTAATCCGTTTTCTCTAATTTTGCTGTAGTTTTTGTGATCGCAGTAGGCTGAGAAATTGTGATTGATAATATTTTCTTGCTCGACAAGGTAAATAATTTTGAGTAATATATTGTATTGCGACACTGCTTGTTGAATCTGTGTGAGATTTATACGTCATTGTTCGTGTGTGCGTATGCTCGAGGCAGAGTCGAGTTGGTCGACGTGGAACGGAAAAGAGAGAGGGTGAAATGGCGACAGCAACAGCAGTTAGCACTGCTGGCCATTCTAGCGAAGAGAAGCTAGATTGATTGTATCAGCTCAAGTGAGCGGTGTTTCTGTCCAGAGAGTAACTAAGTTATTCAGTCAATAGTGTTTATCCATGGAAGCTGAGGCTTTGCTAGTAGTCTACTTATTTGTATCTACAATCACAAGTTTCGCTTGAGATCTCCGACGTGGGATTTTGTTCACCTTGCATCGACGCAAGGTCGTACCAGGTACCGAGAGTCTGTATAATATTTCTTTGCATGTGCCTGAAATTAGCATAGACCTACGCGCAACTTGCTATCCTCTTCAGACTTGCATATAGAGCAGCAATGTCTATCATGACTTTTGTTGACATAAGTTACGATATCGTTTCTGAACTCAACGGGTCAAAAGCTTGAATACAGAGGTGTTCCTATGTCGAGACACATTTGAATCGGCTAATTCAGAGGCGTGCAGTAGGTGCTGAAATGACATCGTTTTGCGTGGCCATTGTCAAATATTCAACATGCCAGGAAGACGTTTGAATTCGCAACCACGAAGTCTTGTATCGAATTTGTTACAGTATTTCACAAGAGAGAAAGATAATAATGGTCCTTTAATCCCGTTTACTTCCATACAACAGGTAAATCATAATTCTTCCTGATCAATGATAAGAATAGTCAGACCTCACCTCAAGAATATCATCATGATGAACATAATTTTAGCATGTTGCTAATGCCCTCAATATTAATCTGCGGACAGTTTCGAGTATTAAAGTATGTTCTGAGAGAAACGAAAGTTTGAGTACGCCAGGGAAACCAAGGACTAAAAAAAAACCCAAGACAGTAGATCAGCATGATAATTTGAAAATGGAAGTACGCAATGTGATCTATACTATGTATGCAGAAACTAAGTGATTTCATTTGATACCTACCTTCAAATGACTATTTTACAGAAAAACACATCACTTAGAATTTTGAAAGAAGAACTCAGATTTACACATATTCTTGATACAAGTATAGGCACATTGAGCAAACTTCTCACAAATGTAGGACTCAAACATAAAAAAGAAGACAACAGACGGTTATTGGCTGAGAAGATGGACATATCTTTAATGAGAGCAGAGTTTTTCAGAAAGTTTTATGAAAATCGCAATTCTACTTACCCTAGACAAATCGTCTTCATAGATGAAACTTGGATATTTGCGAAAGGGAATAAGATGAGATCATGGCAAATCAAAGTACAAAACGCGTTGGTAAACCAGAAGGTTATGATGGGAAACGATTTATTGTACTTCATGCTGGCCATAGTGGCCACAGTGTTCTGCTTTGTCACGATCACAGACTACTTCACAAAAGCATTAAATTGGTGTGTATCGGGTCACATACCAACCCATACGTATATACATGCCAAAGTTCTGATACATGTTTTTGCTTTCAATAAATTGACGAATTAAAGAGATGAAACTTGAAATATATACCAATCCTATGTTTTATTGAATGGTTCTTAGTCAAAATTACTAGGAGTAGTGAATACAAATTTTCTGAATATTATTATTTATTTTAACCCAATTTCTGAAACAGCACGGCACTGCTTCACTGGAACATATGACCTTGAATTAATTCGTTCCGTTTTTTAAAGTTGTGACGTACGCGCAAAGAAATATTATACAGACTGTATCTCTCAATCATTTATCGTGTGACTTGAACGAACTCAAAGAACATTACATATTACGTTTATACGTTTCTATAGGACTTTAGGTGTAGCTATCGTATATTCCCTGCCTATTTTTGTAGAAAATAAATGTTTTTGTATGCTTTATCGTATACACTGTTTGAATCTATTTATCGCCCTGAGAAGCCCATTTTAAATACTTAGTCATAGCAATATAATGAGATAAAAAATATTCCCAGATCGCCCTAGGAATACGAAAATACAGGGGTGGGATAGACCAAATTGTAACAAACTGTATGTATCGAGAACTGTAGAGTGTAGACCTTATTCTCACCTGCACACCAGACTGAACACCTTCTGGCAGTCGTCCGTCTCTTTGACGTCGATCACACGCTTGATCGCGTTCAGCGCCATCAGCTTCACGTGCTTGTACGGCTTCGACAGCTGCCTGCCCTGGAAGCTGCCCGCGCCTGTCGAGGTCGCCCCTGCGGCCATCGTCGCCGAGGGGCTCTTGAGCGCGTTAAACGCCCTCGACCGCTTCTTCAATTCGATTCAATTTCATTCAATGGTTATACACGGTGAGTCAGATTAAGACCCACAAACTTCGTATATACAGGGTGTTACATAATTCAATACAAATATTTTAATGACATATTCCTGGGGTCAAAATAAGACTTTTTTTTTCCTATAAACATGTGTCCTAAAATCCACCCCCTCCAAGCTACAGACATCGCAAGATGCGCAATAAAAATCTTAAATTTTGAATTGTGGCTACAATTATGCATCAACTATTTTGAAAATTCACAGGCACTCGTATTTTTAGACGATCTATAAATTTCTTGATTCAAAAATAAGGTAACTCGAATCGAAAGGGGTGAATGAGGGTTGCATACAGATTTGATGGCAAACATTTTCTATTTCCTCCGAAAAAACTTGAATTCAAACATCATCGTTGAATTGACCACTAAAAAATCATACATTTCAGTCTCTCGCATTTTTTTGAATTAGCTAACCGTTTTAGAGAAAATCGCTAGTAAATGAAAGGGGTGTATTTTCAAATTATTATACTGAAAAAACTTTGTGAGCTATGATTATGTTTGTCTCTGGTAACTAATGATTAATTAATATATTTTATGCCAAACTGACATTGTGGTATGTCATAACCGTCATGTCACAATCGATTCACTTTCCTCAACTTACCATTACACGCAATGTCTGTAGTTTGGAGGGGGTGGATTTTAGGACACATGTTTATAGGAAAAAAAGTCATATTTTGACCCCAGGAATATGTCATCAAAATATTTGTATTGAATTATGTAACACCCTGTATATTGATGTTGTGACAAAGAAAATATCTCCAGTTATTGGTGCATTGAGAAGATGTCCCAAACTTGATATTAAAATTGCAAACATGATTCTCTACTCTCATATACTGCGTCGTATCAACTTTTTGATGAATGTTTGGGGATCTTGTTCAAAAAATAATTTCAATAAAATTTCAACATAATATAGAAAATCGTTAAAAGTATTGTATCGTCTCCCATTTGATACACCAACCAATCAATTGTATGAAATATCAAATACGTATTCCTCAGATGGAATATATATAATTGAAACTCTTAAAATATCATATAATATCATAAATAAAAAATTGAAGTCGAATATTATTTTAATACGGTGGTTCAAGATTCAGACTTCTGATCACCCTGTATCTGTTACAATTAAATGTACTAATCATTCACAATTTGATTACTTGTAATGGATTATGATATTTTCATTTTATATTTTATTATAATTTTTTTTAGGAAAAACAATAATTGTGCAATTATTATTGTTTCGATTTATTATGTTTTATATGTATTTTTATTTGTATATATCCTTATTATAAACAATAATGTTTCTTGGAGTAATAAAGACAATCAATCAATCAAATATCCCTGAAATCATTCCAGCTAGGCCCCAAGTGTGATGCATTAATGAAATCAGCTCTTCAGGGAGAATCTAAAAATGCAATGAATTACAAGGTGTTCCATTTGAAATAACAAAGTTGTTGCTTCTTTTCGTTAGAAGCGGCAACGCCGCAGGACTGAAAATATTCTAGAACGATGTAGTTGACATGCTTCAGATTTTTTTCATAATCCGGGTTTGCCGACCTACAGAGCCGCTGTTTCGTTTTCAATGGCCCACTCTGTATATGAAGAGGGGAGACGGAATTGTTTACATTTTCTCCAGATCCAACCTTGTTTTCAGCAGAAAACGATGATGACAAATTTCTGCGGATTGCACTAGATCTACCGCCTGTGTTTGAAAACGAGGAAAGCATTAATCATACATTAATTATGTAATATACATTTTTATGTAATTTATTCCATTATGTTAGTTCCTTAATTGGAATATGTGAACTCTGCTATTGAAATAATTCAAATTTTACTAATTTCATCATCACATAAAATTATAATGTGTTATGGAAATAAGTGTGGCAACGCTGTATTGGCGTGTTTACTAAGAGTTACACATATTTTTCTGTCATTCACGTATGTCAAAATCCGACGTTAGTGTTGCTGTGCTATGTTTGTTACCATTTTAGGACTTTTTGTGTTTCTATTGATTTTCAGTGTTTTCTTATTATAAAGCTAAAGAAAAAGTTCACCATTCAAACACCAAATTGGTATTTCGACGATGTAAGGTTATATGTTTCTTTCAACATGAGCAGTGGTGTAGTTATCGCTGGTTATTAAACTAGATTATTGCAAGAAACCTTGTTTCTTTTGTTAAAATTCCACTGAATGATGGATCAAAATTAGGTACATACCTAGAGTACTAGGAATATTTTGTATTGAAATTAAAAGATTAGACCCAAGCATTTTCTAATAGGTACGATAACGTTGTCATTTTAGTGGAATTATCTTGCTCCTCGCTTAACCTACGCGACTGGTGAGAAGAATGTGAACATTGATGTACAGTTTACAGGGTTGCAATTTTTGAGAGCCATCTCTTTCTAACTTATTTGAAACTTCATATGGTCTGGTTCAAGAAAGAAAGGTTTAGTGAATGAGATAAAAAACTATCTATGTCATTCTAGTTCTTGCCGCCCTCGCTATGGGGCGTGTTCTATACAAACTATTAGTTTTCAAGATACAGTACCTCGTCACCCTTATTGAATCGCCTGATAGATAAATGTCATTACCTTGCACACCTCCAGTCGGTCGGAGAAGAGGAAAAGGGCGAGGCTGTTGCCCTTGCTGCACAGGCCCTCGGAGGAGGAGAGCTGAACGACGTCTGCCTTGGCGATGAAGTTCCGGTGGGAGGAGACAATGTCGGGCTGCAACGAGATAATTGACATTTTTCCACCACTAAATATAGCGTCTTTTAAAAAGTTAGCATCATATGGGAAAAACTTTAAATGATAACATATTTTGAAATTCTACTTAGGAGATGCTTTGAAAAAATCTATTCTAATGAATTTCTCTTCTAAATGCTTGACAATACATCAACTTTGCATAAACAACAGGAACTTGAAGCAGGATCATTATTTTATGAAGAAAATCACATTTTTTGTTGATTATTAGTAATTGAAAAAAAGCCACCGATATGAAAAATGTTTGTTGAAGTTTCACATTTTAAATTACTGAAATTTCGTAAAAATTTGAAAAAAATATCAAAAACTAAAAATTGCGATCGGGGGGCGTTCAAATTTGAAATACATGTGTAAAATCGAAATAAAAACAACTTCTCTTTGTAAACGTTTCATACAAATTAGCATATTTTTAGCGATTAATTTGAAAAAAATCAACTTTTGACATGTAGCGAAAGTAACATGACTCAGACCAATTGAGCCATTTTTCATAATTTTCAAAACAAAACTCAACGCCTAAATCAAATTTCGCAATAAATTATTATTAAATTTGTTTTCCATGTTGTCAACTTTCTGAAAAACAATGTAGAACCATTATAATACTCCTTTTCATAGCCGCACCTCTGTTATAATAACCCCAAATTCACTGTTCTGATGCGAAATTCGCAGGAATGGCACTCGAATCTAGTAGGTATTTATCAATAATGACTTGCCATATCCTGTCATGGTCATGGCTACCAGGTTTTGATTAGAAATTCGCGATAGAAAATAAGCGTACGTCACCTATCGAAGTTTTCAGAAGCTGTCAAAGCGGCGTGTTTACATTGTATTCATTGGTTCACATTTGTTTTTCGTTTGTGATTACTGGTCAATCCTTCAGCTCAGAAGTGTTCAAGTTCTTGCCGTCAGGTGGGGCGACGTGTTATGTTCTATCGTGAATGGGCGTGTACACCTTGGTAGAACTTTTAACTCAAACCATGTTTATAATGATCCTTTCAAACATAAATAATGATTGACGACATAATTCGATCGAAAAATTAACTGGGATGTTTTATTTTTGGACATAAATAATAGTACCTTCTGAAAACGGGCCCACTTATGACGTAGAAACCTCATCTCGCCATAGTTAAAAGAAAATACCAAACGCCGGACGGAGACTAAGGCAACTGATATATTAATTCTTTCAACTGTGATCTCGCGCTAATTCACTCTGTCAGAAATCATGTATCATTCATCTCTGTCTGGAATAGTCATGTTTCAGTATTAGGGTTTTGACGTCACATCATCGCCTCGTTTTCAGAGGTCCGAAAAATCGGGGATTTCAATAATTTTTTATGAAACGTAGGGAGCTCACAGCGACCAACGGTTTGCTGTGGTGAGCTAGTTTGGGTGAGTTCTATCGAATTATAGAATAAAAATTTTGACAATAGGTCTAAATTTCAGTTTCACTGAACTTTATCTCTTATATCCCACGGCTGGTACCTCGAATAATCTACCATGGTGTATAAATAACTATTATCTCGATGACTTCAGAGTCTTCGATTTTGGTCCCAAAATATGCTAATAACATGTATTCAGAAAAAGTCTCAACCTTCTCGCAGTGGCTCCAGTTTATGAATGACTGTTATAATTCATATTTCTTCCTTGATTTTTCTGGCGGAAGAATGGGAGATACAAAGTTACAGCAATTGCACTTTCTGCTACATCAGGAGGTATGTTTGATAATCCACTGACAGTATATGATTTCCCCTCACGGGTGCAAATGCTGTTAAGGAATATTTCATGAAATTTATTCAAATTATTGCTCTCACACTCACCGGACAGTGGTCGATGTCATTGAATATATTGAACAAAGTGACCTGGCCTTCAGCTTTCCTCTTATCTTCGTTGATATGGGTCATCACTTCCCTCAAGGCAGCCAGAGCTTGTTCTAAGGCAGAATGATCTGGATTCGTTTTTGGCGTATGCTTCAAAATATCTGGAATGTATTGAAACGGGTACCAAATTATAGCCTTCTCATTTTGAGGCCTGCAACTTGAATTCAACAAAAATTCAACACAAACAATGAATCCATAAATCGCTAAATAAAAGTCAGTTCATCCATTTGAATTCTCAACTGTCTGCACAGGTGCAAACTAGAGTCCCTGTATGTATTTGACAGTTTTGCTGTCAAATACATAGGTCGCGTGCAAGAACTGTCAGATGACCGACCCTGGAGGCAAAACATATTTGTTTACAAGTGATCGAAATAGTTTTCCACAATTATTTTGGCATATAAATCGTATTTTTCCGCTATTCATCAATTCGCTAATGCCATCACATTGTGCTGTTGTAAAAGGACAAAAACTGCAGCGGAAGATGAAGAAATCCGGATGGTACATTATGATTCAAAAGTAAGTACCTACTATAGTCACTCACATAGTTTTCATTTTTGAAATTTGGTTATTTCTCTGATTTCTCATCGGAATTCCTTCTGCAATAGGATCAGCTAATAGAAATATACCTGAAATTTCTAGAATAATGCAAGAAGATTGGATTCATGCAATCAATCGGTATATACCTGAAATTTCTAGAATAATGCAAGAAGATTGGATTCATGCAATCAATCGGTAGGACTGGTCTGACATGCTGACGATCGTGTGTGTTGTAGAGATTTTCAATCTATTAGCAGCATTAGCTTGTATTGCAGAAGGCAGAAGGAATTTTAATAAGGAATGACAACATTTCATAATGCTAACTATGTGAGATTACTATTTACCTGAAAAATCATATTCCCTAGTCTCTTGCTGCATTTTTTGTGCATTGTACAACAGCACAATGCGAAGGCATGCTTGAATTAATGAATAACGCAAGAAACACGATTCGTATGCCAAAATATTGTGAAAAACTATTTCAACCTTTTGATTCTCCTCTGTAACCAAATAAAAAAGTGAGGTTGTGTTTCAATAATTCACAGAAGAATGAGGTTGTGTTTCAATATTTTGCCTCCAGGGTCGGTCTTCGTGCACGCGACCTATACAGGGACTCTAGTGCAAACTATGATTGAGATATTTTTGGATGTGTGACAAATTACTATTCATCATACAGGACGTGGATTGATAATTTATTTGCCTTTTAGATGTTTTCATGAAAACATATAGCTTCCACATTTCTACTTGATAGGCACGCGCCTCCCCTCCTACTACTGAAAATATCACAAAAACTAAGTGGCTAAGACCAGAGATTTACAGATGATTGAAACATTGAAAAAGTATGTACGTACAAACATATGAACACAATATGATTAGTCGGCAATCATCAAAACTGAATAAAAAAAGGAAGATTGATAGAGATAGGTCAACGATGATTGCATGTGTTTTTTTCTATGATTTACATTCAGTTTTTACTTGACTTCCTTCAGATGAATATTCATGACATAAGTTTGGAATTCTTAAGTTTTATGTCCATACTGTACAGAATATTTTTACAATACAAGGTGTATAAACAAAAATCTTCTGAAGGGGACATCAAAAATGTAAAACATACAATGTAGAACACTTAGATACGCCACAGAATTACCCTGCAAGGAAGCCCACAGAGGTGGCCGGTGCAGGCCTCGCCAATGATTTTTGTCTAACAACCCTGATGACAGTCATGAGAGAGCTGACTCCTAGGAGTATACCTTTAATCCAGTTCATGTTAGCGAGTAGCCCAGGGCAGAAAAGATTGATCGTCGATTGCTACCTTGTTCTCTCTAATTTAGAATTTTTGTGTTGGAAAATAAAAATAAGAAACCAACTTTTAAAAATTCTATGTGAAAGACTCTATGAGGGATGAGGGGTGAGATAGGTGTGGGAGAGTGATTATGATCTAATAGACTGATTTCGTATCGGCAAATAGACTAGTTTTGTTAGCCGATAGGCGTGCTAAGTTGTCTGGATCCTGCTTCATGGTAATGCTCCGGTAGTCGTTCAGCCGGGCCACACCGTTCTCTTTCAATTCAGCTACCCAGCTGTTTGTTGTTTAGAGTCAGTCTATTGGGGATGAGGGGAGGAGGGGGAGTTATTCAGAGAGTTCCCTGAATACATCGCTGGCCTCATATATCAGCCCATGTTTCCTACGGATGTCATGATCTGACCTTATTCTCGTTATATCTCTCGTGAGTGCGCTATTCTGAATGTGATGTTTATGAAATTAATTTGATATATTGATGATGTAATTTTTTAGTCAAGGGCAGATCATGGTATTGAGCATGCATGTCAGCCACTCGAGTGTATCTATTACCGTTAGTAATGATTCGGAGTACCTTGTTCTGTAGCACCTGTAGCCTATTTGTTCACTCACCGTTCAACAACAAACTGATGCTCCCGAGCCGCTGCACCGGCCGCATCATGAGGTCCTGCAGGCTCTGCCGGCCGCACTCCGGCCGCGTCTGGCACGCCTTCAGGAAGGCGTGGAAGCGCGGCTTCGTCTGGTCGCACTGGCACAACACTTCTTTCATCTCCTCGAAGTAGTTGATGTACGGCGGGTACGCCTGCAACACGAGTTGCGTTTTATTTGTTCCATTCTGGTAGCGGGGGTGGGAACAGAACGACGTTCACAAATAAAACGAGAAACTTCATGACCTTGCATGAGAGAATTTACATAAGAGGTTATATTTGTATATGGGAAATCCAAATGATTTCAAAATCATAATAGAGTTAAGAATTTAGAAAATGAATCAACTAATATTTGGAGCAGTGATTGTGGTGATTGAATATATGAAACCTATCTTACTTGAAAGAATCATGAACTACTTAATGAAACTCACGATGAAAATGGCTTCTACATGTCTTTCACTCTCAGAAAGTTTCGTTTTCCGTCAATCTAATTTGATTTCTTGACACCAGTCAACAGTCATTCCACATCCTTCCTTGTAGTGAGACAGAATGAAAAGTAGCAACCGGAATCGGAAAAGTTGCAAATAAAACGACACGTCAAACTGATTCCGGTGGTGGAATTGGATAAATAAAACGCAACAACAGATGTATGGAAATGCGAATGGTGTTATCATTACTAGAGTTCCTAAATGTACAGCGTGTCCAATTTTCGATGCTTTTTCGTGATATCTCATTTATCTTTCGAGATAAAACCTTGCGGTTTTCGCGGTCCTGTGCCACTTTTTTGTGAAACTCAAGATGGCCTTATCAGATTTTGCATAACTGTTTCCGTTTATGAGATACAGGGTGATTTTGAAAATTTATACTTTTTGGACTCCCTATATATCTACTAAGTTTCTCAGTGAAAATGTCGATTCAAAAACTTATCCCATAGAGAATTTTATATTCAAAATACGAGTCAAACTTATGATTATTCAGCGTCCGTCTCACGACCGCAAGGTCGTGGGTTCGATTCCTAGCACGAGCAAGGAATTTGTTTCAATATTTTATTTACGAATTAAATATATTGTAAAGTTTCAGAGCAACGATTGGGGATAGTCCTGCACAATTCGCTGTTGCGTTCCAATTAACAGTGCTGCTCCCAAAATGGCGCATGGACTTAGTAACAAAGCCTACACAGAACATGCAGAAAGAGATGATGATGTGGCTGTGAGCATCAGAGAAGAAGTAGGACGGTGTATGTAGGTGGGTGTGGAAAACTACCAGCTGAGCGTGAGAGCGAGCCAGCTGCTTAGTGGACCTCGGTCTTTAACGGGGATTAACGATGATAGCTAGCAGGTTTATTTTGAAACTTGCCATAACTGTTCAATAGAGTTCAGTTTAGTTTGCTTTATTTATTGGTAAAGTATAACACATAGTGCTTTTACAGGTCAATAGGGTATATAAAGTATAGAACTTGTTTGAATAATAATAATATAGTAAGAAAAATACTTGAAAATTAAAAAGTGAATTGAAAGACACACATTTTACATATCAAAATGGGTTTACATATTAAAAGAGGTGTTACATATTAAAATAGGTCTTACATATAAAACTAAAATGTCCTTGAGTCACTCTCAAGGTACTCCTCGAGGGAATAGAAGGCGTTTCTTAGGAGATAGTTTTTGACTCTAGATTTGAAGCTATTTAGATTTAGATGCTTAACATCTGTCGGTAGAGCATTGAAAAATTTGATGCCATAATAATCGGTTCCCCTTCTAGTACGTTGCAGCCTGTGATAGCGTCATCATTGTCATTAATGTTAAGATTTACAAGTTTGATTTTAGATTCATAATAGATATCACCTATGTTATGTCATGTTAATACATACGAGGCGTTTTTGAAATAAATTCACCTATTCATTGGCACATGAATATGATACAGCCATCGTTCAACAAGCAAAGCAGTGGTTCAAGGTCAGCATAAACACACTTACTCGAATCACAGCCGTCTTCAACTAACAAGCCGTGAAGAAGCAGTCTGGCAACATTGTCCGAACGACCGAACTTGCACCTGTCGGCCATTCAAAGTGTATTGTGTAGGAAGTAAACAAGGAGTTTATGGAAGGTTTTTTTAAATTTTTCAATTATTAATTGGTGTAATATTGAGATCAGATAATTTTAAAAGTATTAGCAACAATCTAGGAATCGACTCGAGACTGAAAGTGTGTGGCAAGTGCATTCAAAATTGTGTTAAATTGGAGGTTATAGTGAAGTGTACTAGTGCTGGTGTATTTGCAAGAGAATTTGTGTTGTTTTTTCAATTTACTCCTGGAAATAAGTAAGTTATTCATTATTCCTTATAAAATATGTCTTCTCATTGTTGTGTGCCAGGATGTAAGTCAAATTACAGCCCTGAAAAAAAGCTGGGAAAGGATCATGTCTCAGTTTTTTTATTCCCAAAAGGGGAAGAATTGCGAAGTAAGTGGATAACAGCAATACCTCGAAAAAACTGGACACCATCTCAACGTTCTACAGTATGTGCAATTCATTTTATTGAAAAAGATATCATCATGTATGATACATTCCCTCTGCCAGATGGATCAATTGGAAAAAAGTTGTTACGAGCACCAAAGTTAGTCAAAACAGCAGTTCCTTCAATTTTTCCAAATTTACCAAAATATTTTTCAAAACCAGCCAAACCATCAAGAACTGATCCAAATAAAAGATGTCAGAAATATTTAGATATTCAAAGTAATATAATAGAACAGTTTGAAAAATCAGACCTCATCCACAACTATGAACAGTTAGTTAGGGAATATGTTGAGAAAGTTGAAATTGATACTGAAAAACCATAAGACTGATGATAAATTGTATTTTTATGAATTAGATTTGCAAGCAAATGTTTTTTATCCCAATGATGTAAATACTTTACAAATTGTTTCTCAAGTTATAATATCTAATGAGATGGAGGTCCAAGTTTTTCTTGGTGATAATAAACTTGGATTCAATGAATTGAAATGGATTCTTACTCATGATATGAAATTGAATAGATGGTCACAACTTGAAAATATTCTAGCTAGATTCAAAAACATCTCAGATCAAACTGACAAACACTCAGATATGAATGAAAAATTCGATATCTCCATAAGTTTTATTTTAACAAAATTTTCAAAATTACGGCTTCAGTTCATGACCAAGGGAATTATTCAACCACATTATTCCTCGTTCTTCACTCTGTAAGTTCACTCTCCTGTATTTTTTACCTATTCGACAAAATAATCCGAGAAAATTACGTTAAACCAAACATTCAAAGCTCGCGCTCATATAAAAACCATTGTATTGCTAGGCTCGAATGGGACCGACGGTTTCCGTTCGTGCGACGTTGCCAGTATCTCAGCACGGCTTGTTAGTTGAAGACGGCTGTGCTCGAATGCATGTACCGCGGATACAAGTGACGATGTTTAACCGTTAGGCTGTGGTCTCACCTTCAACAACTCGGTGGAGTACTTGACGATAATGTTGCCGATGCTGCGGTCCTCGTTCCAGTGTGCGGACGTCCACCGGAACTCGTCCACCATCTTGACGTGCGTCTCGTAGATGGGCGGCAGCTTGCCGAAGATGAAGTTCAGCTCGATGTTGTTGAGCAGCTCCTCCTCGTCGGGCATGTCTTCGAGATGTTTCTTGAACATCTGGAGGGGGGGGGAGAAGATATCAAAAGTGTGAGATGAAATATAAATCGTTTCTCGAAACCGTCCTATTTTTTTTGACCACTTTATTTTTTCAAGTATACAGGGTGGCTGGAATTCGAGGCTCATCATTGGGATCTCGTAAACCGTAAGAGATACAGGGTCGGTTAAATTATGGCAAAGTTGCGCAATTTGATGCTGATCAAATTGCCGCCTCAAAATTTTGGAAATTTCCAATACTCCCGAAGATATTTGAGAAAACCCGAATATCCACGATTTCGTTTCGTCTTCGAGAAGCCATCATCAACTTTGTTTTTTTAAATGGTCGAAAAAAATTTTTCGTTACTAAAAAACTTCAATTTCAATTCTGAATCATACGACACGCAATTATCCTACGTTTCAGACCAAAAAATCATTATCATTGTTATTTGATGATGGTTACTAGGAACCTAACGTCGGAACAAAAATCTGATGACGGCGTCTTGTAGAGAAGGAAAAATTACTGCAGAAATGTCAAATTCATTTTTATCTTTCTCTCTGTCTATCTCTATTTTAATTTTCAATAAACAGTTATTCTCCAAGTTTCTAATTCTAAGAAATGAACGATATTTTTCTGATTTCACTATAAGAGATAGACCAAAATGGATATGACATTTTCATTGCTATTTTTCCTTCTCTACAAGTTGCCATCATCAGATTTTTGATCCGACGTTTCGTTTCCTCGTAACCATCATCAAATAACACTGATTATGATTGTATTGGTCCGAAACGTGAGATAATTGCAAGGTGTTATATGTCGTTGGATTCAGAATTGGACACAAAGTTTCTTAGGAACAAAAACATTATTTTCGACCATTTAAAAAAACAAAGTTGAAGATGGGTCCTCGAAGACGAAACGTCGGAACACAAATCTATGATTGCTATTGGATAGAGCAGAAAAAGTGACAATGTTATTGCGAAAAACCTATTTAAATTTCTCAACTTTAACGCCCTGTATCTAGAGAACTGAACACTTGAAGACCGTATACCCTATCCCAGTGATTATGAAATCACGAGGGCTATCACCTGTCAAGCGTTATCGGTCGAATTTAGCAACATCCTGTATAAATAGCTATTATTCACGAGCATGGACGTATAAACAAAGATGGACTGGGCTATTTACATTTTCATGTGAAGTCACACAAAGGAACAGTCTAACCACCGAATCGCTAATTTGATGTTGTTATATTATTCTTGCTGTGTGTCAAACTTGAGGACAATTTCCGTTTTTTACTACATTTAATACGTACATGGGACATATAATTCATTGCATTACTCATGAACAACCGAGTGAATAACCAAAGGTTACTCAGTTAGTATAAACTATTTCTCAAGTTAAAAAAGTCGCGAGCTGTATATTCATTATCGACAGAAAAATTCTGATAACCTAATGCTTTCAAGAAGCTTGGCATCATTGACAACGTCAACCAATCACACAGCGCTATTTGAAAAAGGAAAATAAATGGCGCAATATTCGAAGTAGTGTTTACGTTAATTTTCACTCTTTACTTCGTTTTTATGATCTTCGTGAATTCGAGTGAATTTGTGACTTTTTTTGAACAATAGTTTATGAAAATAATCAGGAATTATCATAGGAAGGGTACATACATATTGCTTGTTGAATACATTAATTGATTTAGTTCTCAAAACCTACATTTTATTTCTCAAAAATGTAAAAGTCAGATGAAACATGTTTCGCAGATTCCCTGTGAAGGGTGAACAGCGGGGTTTGTGGTTGTCGCTGTTGAAAATGAAGGCAGAGCAGATAACCAAAAATGCTCTTGTTTGCTCCGACCACTTCAGAAGTGATGATTTCATATCACAGCCTAGTGGAAGGAGGATTCTGAGGAAAGGGGTTCTTCCAATACCCATTTTTGATGAGTTACCAGCACCATCAGAACAAATATAGAACAATCCTGGTGAGTATCTATAAAATATTTCGATAATTTTGGGTAACTTATTATACAGGGTGTGATTAATTCTCCCGGTATGCTGTAAATGGTACCTATTCCATGAATATTGTAAATATAAGTATTTCTTGGATTTTTCATTACTCTAATTTTTCAGGTGTGCAGATGATATGATGGAAAATATAGATCCAGCCTTTAATATTATTTTCGACGATAATTCTTCTAAACCTTCAAAAAGGTGGGTTTTACTTGAATTTTTTACAGTTCACAAATATGAGTTATGAATGTAGATTCTGATTTGTCTCCACATTCCAAAATTAACATTACATGAAATATTACAGGTATTTAAATGAAACTGAAGAGCAACATATTAATACTGATATAGACTCAAGCTTCAATGCTGCAAACTATGATTCTCCTGGGCCTCCAAAAAGGAGGTGAGTTTTGGCTTATCTTTTCTCAGATTTTTATTCAACCTCGTATTTAACAACGAATAATGTGGCAAGTGATAGATAATATATTTATTTTACAAAAATACAATATTTCAGATGTTTCAATGATGATAAATGACAACCGAGAGGACAACTGAGTAATGCGGATATAGAAAATGCTTCTTCAGGTACACTCACAGCGTCAGAAACTGAAATGGTGGAGTTGTTACTGACAGATAATACTTGTTCATATTCCCAAAATAAAACTTATGAAAAGTGAGTCCTCATTATGAATTATTTTGGTGATAGTTTATACAAATGAGTGTTTCCAAAGTGTGCGAACTTCATTTTATGTTTCAGAATGAACAAAACTGTCGAGGACACGTCTAGCAGTGAATTTTCAACACCTCAAAAGGCTATACAAAAAAAAACTGTGAAGAACCAAAAACACAAAATCAAGTGCCTTCAACAATCTGTCAGGAGATTGAGAGCAAAAATTACATCCCTCACTTCACTCCTGACATTATTGAAGAAAAAATCTTTAATTAATGAAAACTCTGAATGGCCATTGAAAGCAAGCCTCTTTTGGTAAGATTTGCAGTGGATTATAACATGATTTTTTCATTTTTCCAGGCATCATTATCAGGAGCAACAAATGAAATGTTCGAAAAACTGTTGAAGGGACCCAAAAAACAAAAATACACCCCAGCCTTGCGAAGTTTTGCACTCACCTTATCATTTTATTCCATGAGGGCATATAATTATGTAAGGAAAACGTTTAACAATACACTACCACATCCAAGAACAATTTCAAAATGGTACCAGTCCATAGATGGTAGACCTGGGTGGACACAAGAAGCATTGCACACACTCAAAATAAAAGCAGATGAAGCCAAGAGAGAAAATAAAACAGTTCTCTGTAATCTTGTTTTGGATGAAATGTCTATTCGGAAGCAAGTTGAATGGACTGGAAATAAATTTTGCGGTTAAAAACTCAATGAATATCTTGATATCGAATACATTAAAGAATATTCCACATAATCTTTATGATTTATTTGGTGATCATTTTTATGATGGCGATCCAATCGATAGTCATTCCTCACAACTAGTCAAATTAATATTGCAAAAATATTTCAAAATCAGAATACATCATGCGACAAAGAATAAACTCGATTCCACCACCATAAGAATCAGGAGTACACTCACAAAAACAGTTCTTTTTAAAAATCAATGAAATGCCTTGACTTCTGAATTACAAAATTTTCAGTTTTTCTGTTCTGGTAGGGCATAAAACTCACAACTTACTTGTATATTTTCGAATGTTTGAATAAAGTGTTTATTAGTAAAGTATTCTTTTGAATGATCCTCAATTCCCTCTATTTTTCGTGTCACAATAATGAGAATTATAGGTACCTATCCGAATGTTCGAAGATAGAAAGCTCTAATCTTTATTGCAAAATTATTCATTTAGCAGTTTTCTTATTTTCAATTCGAAATATTTGTATGCCTTGTTGATGGAAATGGAACGAATCAATAGCAAATTATTCTTTTTATATGTAATGAAATCTTGAAAAAATAATTGTTTCCTAGTATCTCGAATATTTTCCAAGTATCAGAAGGTACGCCACTGGCAGAACGTGAAAAGTCACAGTATATCACTTCGCCTCTCTCCCCTCGCCCTAAAGCTACTTGGCTTCAAGATTATGTGAACACAGAGTAGATGATGCCCAGTCCATCTTTGTTTATACGTCCATGTTCACGAGAGAATCTGGACATCATGAGATGAGAAAATACAAATATTTTCCAGCCCACATCCCACCACACTCACCGTCATTATCGTGTGCAGTATATCCACGTAGTTCGTCTCGGTCTGCAGCAGCTCGAGGAACACCTGGTGCCTGGCAGTCAGCCCCTTCCTGGGCGTATCCCCCAACACATCAGCGCCCTCTAGCGCCTCCTTGCCCGGACTAGCGGTGCAGTCCAAAAAGGAGCCGCTCACGGACAACACGCCCGCGTCGCTCACCGACGAGCGTCGCTTGTGCAGCGCCGGCGATTGCGGCTGCTGGACCAGAGAAGAGAGCGTCTCATGGAGGCGTTTGCGTTTCCTTCGGCTCGCGCTTGTAGGCGTCGGCGCGTGTGAGTCTCGGCGCGTTGCGGGGGACAGGACTTGCTCAGGTTGCTTTAGAAATTTCATATAATCATAGTCAAACAAACATTTTATATTTTTGGAAAAAACTATAAAAACGGTTTGACGTTTTTCAGATGACCAATTGTATTTATTATTTTTTTGACATCAACTGTTAACAACAGAATATGGAACAAAATGATGGACTCATAGAATCATACTATGGATGAATTACTTCTTCAACACTCCCACATGATCCTGAGTCAATGCTAAGAACTTCAAGACCCATTTAACTAAATCTGTGGTCAGTTTAGCACCACTGTTTCCCAATGCCACTATCAAAGGTGTATAATGATCAGGTAAACTAACTAATATAAGCGCTGCTAAGACTCCGCCTCTGATCTCCTTATCAATAGATTTCAACTGTTGGGTAATTTTGATTTTCTTGTTCAGGTAGTCATCCATAGTTTGATAATCAGCACACTAGATCGTGACTAATTGCTCTATCAATACAGCAACTCTTGAGAATCCTTTTTGCTGAAAGATATTTTGAAGCCGTTCCCAAACTTTCCAGTTATCAGTTCTCTGATTTCTGTATATATATACAGGGTGATTTACATAAGAACCGACATAGAGCAGGGGCATGTAGGGGGTCCCAAAATATGGCAATTTAACGCAACTTACCTCTATACCAAGTTGCTTCCCTAAGGAGTTATAGGCTTTGGAAGTGAAGTTATAAATTTTGAAAAAAATCAATATATCCGTTATTCTTGAACTTAAAGCAACAAAATTTGGTACACTTTGTGGATGTATTTAGGGCGTTACTTGACAGTAACTAGAGTTCAATTGAAATTTGTAAAGGGGGTATACCGGGTGGGAAAATCAATTCTGAAACTTTTCTTAGTCCAGTAGTTTCTTGAAAAACCTCATCATTTTCATAAAAAACTCGAATAACTGAAAACGCGTGATCTAGGTGTGTTATTTAAAATCATCGAAATTCCAAAATTGGCTATGAAAATAAACGTCAAACTTGACAATGAAGCCAGAAAGTTGTTCAAATAAGAATTTCATCGAAAACAGTTGTTTGTTCTGGTTGTTGTTTAAGTTTTTTGTGTTTATTTTGGTTAGTTGTTTATCCCAGTTTTTCACATTTGAGTATCTGTCCTTACTTTACGTATTTTGTTACGTATCTAAATAATAATTTGCCAGCCAATTTCTACTGATTACAATAAATGACCTACTTTCTTGTTGTACGTTTATTTTCATAGCAAACTTTTGAATTTTCGATGATTTCAAATAACACACCTAGAGCGCGCGATTTCAGTTATTCGAGTTTTTGATGAAAATGACGAGGTTTTTCGAAAAATTACTGGACAAAGAACAGTTTTAGAATTGAATTGCCCACACAACAGAGCACATATTTTTGAAATCCATCGAAAGTTAACAAAATTCTGTTGAATATGAATGGTGCGCCACCCGGTATACCCCCTTCACAAATTTCAATTAAGCTCTTGTTACTGTCAAGTAACGCTTTGAAAACATCCACAAAGTGTACCAACTTTGGTTGCTTCAAGTTCAAGAATAACGGAGATATTGATTTTTTTCAAAATTTATAACCTCACTTTCAAAGCCTATAACTCCTTAGGGAAGCAACTTGGTATAGAGGTAAGTTGCGTTAAATTGACATATTTTGGGACCTCCTACATGCCCCTGCTCTATGTCGGTTCTTATGTGAATCACCCTGTATATGAGTTTTCATACTAGATACAATCGATGCCAAACCCTTTTCGTTCATCTTCTCGCTGGTTCTACTGCCATCAACATAATACCACAGCTCGCAATTCACAAGATGGAATTCCATGCTGTATTTCCAAACAATATAATTGGCACTTCCTTCTAGTTTCTCGAAGGATGCTGGCACTGCTGTACAACTCGTTCCTGACAACTTCTCCAAAATGAATAATATGCTTCCCAATACACAATTTATGTATTTGTAAGACTACTGGGCCCATAACCTTTTATATTTTTGGAGAAAAACTATAGAAACGGTTTGACATTTTTCGAAGACAAGGTATATTTATTATTTTTTTGACATCAACTGTTAATAACAGAATATAAAACAAGATGATGGACTCATAGAATCATCATATTATCGATGAATGACTTCTTCAACAAAAAAGATGGACGAAATAACATTTCATTCATGAAACACTATGTATTTACAATCAATCATAATACCAAAGTTTCATTCGGTTAGAAAGAGATGGCTTTAAAAAGTGGCAACGCTGTAAACTATGCGCCAATGTTCACACTTTTCACCAGTCGCGTAGGTTATGCGAGAGGCAAGACAATTTTACTACAATGACAATGCAATTATACCTATTAAAAAATGTTTGGGTCTAATCTTTCAATTTCAATACCAAATATTCGTAGTCCCTTAGGTACCTACCTAATTTTGATCCATCATTCAGTGGAATTTGGATAAAAAAACAACGTTTCTTGCAGTTATTTAGTTAAATAACCCGCAAGAACTATACCACCGCTCAAGTTGAAAGAAATACATAACCTTGAGGTTTTTATAGTGAACTTTTCCACAATCCACGCACTGGCGAACCATAATAGACTTTTGTTAATTGCCTTTACTTAGTTTCATGAGAAGAAAACACCGAAAATCAATTGAAACACAAAAAGCTCTGAAATGGTAACAAACACATCACAAAACCACAGTAACGTCGGACTATAAAATACTAGAATGAATTTATATACGCGAATACAGCGTTGCCACACTTATTTCCATAATACATTATAATATATATATTTGATGTAATGATGAAATTAAGTACATTTTAATTTTTAATAATATGGAAAAGACAAATGCTTCCCTGGTTTTCACAGGCGGTAGATCTAGGGCAATCCGCAGAAATTTGTCAACTTCGTTGTCTGCTGAAAACGATGTTGGATTGGGACAAAATGTAAAGAATTTCGTCTCCCCTCTTTTCACACGTCTATGGATATAGTAGAGCGAATAATTCCCACAAAAACGCTGTTTTCATTTTTTTAAGCCTTATTGATCCCTTACGACATCTTAAAAATATAGAAGCATTCACCCATGCAAATATCTTGTATGTTGGGATCTTCAGGATGAGATGAGATTTTCAATCTTCCCCTGAAGTATTTTTTATCTATATCTTCATCTTTGTTCTTGTTGCATCTCTGGAACACCACAACTAACACCACCACACCACAACTGACTCCTTAGATCACAAACTGACTCAAAATCTAAACACTATGGTAATAAATAGTGATGCTGCATTTTTCATGGAAACTGAGCACGAATTCCAGCTTCAATAATACTTGTTTAGAAAAGCCAACAAAAATAGAAACTATATGCCACGGCACTGTGCTAGAGCAGTGCTGTTTTATTTCGACGAACATAAACCTGAAGTCATCTTCGCAACAATACTGGAGCATCGTGCCTATCTAGCGTTCCATGTGGATCCGAGTTTCCAACGCTATTCTCTTAGTTGGAATGGACTATAGATATGATGATTATATGATTATGATTTCACTAGGAGAGGAGACACTAGGCCTGTTCCTTTCCTATGAAAGTGTGACACTGAACTACACTTTTTCCAAAATAGCGTTCCTTTTCTTCAGTGTGTTGTAATTACACCGGTGTTGGATATCTCCACCGAGGCTATAGACGGTGTGAAATACACTGACAGATGTTGAATCATTAGTTTCGATATAAGTAGCAAATCAGAGTGAAATCTGAAAAACTATAAATTATTATTCATTTTATAACAATTCTGTATAAACGGTATACCTACGAGTGGATTTGTGTGAAACTGAAAAACTAATCTTTCATAAATTGAAATTCGGTTAGTACTTATTCTTGACAACTTCACTATGGATTTTTTTGAGAAGGCCTACATGGAAAAGAGACTGTAGCAGTTTGGAATTCTCCTTGCTAATTTTGAATAACGAGATTGACAGGCAAAGATGGACATTTTTCAAGTACACTTGAATCATAGGCCTCTCAAAGGCTGTGACTTGATGAAAATAGGTAGGCAAATTCATAAAGTTTTGGAAAATAAATCAAAACTGGTGCTAAAAATACTGAACAACTTTTTCACAGGCGATGTAGGCAAATCGCACATCACATCGAAATTAGATGATAGTCAGAGTACCAGAATACTGGGCCTGTTATTATTTATTATTGATGAGGGCCCAGCCCAGTAACATCATCATGGACAGCAAATACCACAAAGTTATTGTTTTGTTATCCTTCTACCGGGAATATTTACCCTGAGTGAGAAAAATACTGTTAATTAGAAACAAGAAGAAGGCTATGTGGGCAGTTATTACTTCAAAAATCTTGAGAATATTTATTTCTGTATGCTATTTTCAGGTTTTGTCTTCACAGCGCCATGATTGTAAACAAATGATGTCTACACGATCTCCACTTTCATGTTCCTCTAAAATCCCAACACTCATCTACACTATCAAAAAGTGCCGGATTTAGAGGGGGGGGGCTATGGGACTATCAGCCCCCGGCGGTTAATTTCAAGAGGCGGCAGAGAAAAAGAGAAAAGAGAAAAAGCAAGCAGCGATACAGTCGTCGCCGACGAGGCGACAAATATATTTTATTGCTTTTTGCTTATTTGCCTCTTCAGTCGCCTTTTGAAGCAAACGCGCAATTAGCTACTGCTGGCAGTCGGCACCGCATCAGAAGGACTTGGTGGAGATACTGTGTTTCGAAAGAACTTGACTATAAGGTGGTCAGAGCCCGTAAGAAGAAACTGGCTCTTGAAGAAGCTGACACTGAAGCTTTATTGACACCACAGACCAGAATGCGAACCCAGGTAATACCGTATTCCTCGAAGAAGTCGACCATTCGGTGGGTGAAGTAAATATTCGTACTGAAGCCTACAAAGATCTCTCTTCTACATTCGCAATTTCGTTCTCAATTATTGCATCTATGCCAGATGATGTCATCGTAGATAAAGCACGTGTTTTCATTGATGTATACCCAAATGATGTAGATGAGTCACTCGGCAATGAATGTCTTCAATTGAAATATTTCCGGAATTCTATTGCCGAAAACAAAAGTGATGAAATATTCAATGCAAGATCGTTGATGGCGCTTTAGCACAAATACAAGATCACAGATACTTTTTGCAACGTGGAAGTAGCTCTAAGAATTTTTCTATTCCTGATGATTAGTAATGCCAGTGGTGAAAGGTCATTCTCAACTTCAAAAAGAGTGAAAAACTACCTTAGGAATTCCGTGGTAGAGGATACATTGAATAGCTTATCAATTTTGAGTATTAACAGTGACGTTATTAAATCTGGATTTTCAATGATGCCATTGACGACTTTGCATCAAAAAATCAAGAAAAGTATTTTAGTATTCATCTGAAAAAGAAAGTGTTGTTTGTTGTTATGTTTAACATGTGAAGTAAATATAATTGGATTCGTTGTACATAATGATTTCATGTTATTGTTATATGCTGTAAAGAAGCAGTGAAAGGATTATTTGAATTCTGAATCTAACAATTGAAACGTAATATTTAGCGGCGGCGCGGCGGCATCGTGAAAGTTAGCCCCCGGCGTAAGGGAGTATAAATCCGGCACTGCAATCAAATCATCTGGTTTTCAGTGATGGTGTAAATTACACTACACTGAATGCAAAGGAACAAAGCTATTTTTCGCTATTTGTTACTACCAACTTGAGTGTCATTTCTCAAAGGCATTGTCTTTTGTCAATGTCGATTATAATTAGTTTGGGAAAAGAAAGCTTCTAGAAGTTGTTCTTGCTCTTATTTTCAATAAATAGCTAATCAACAATGTTAGATCTTGATAGAAATAGAATAGTTTCGACAATGGCGAAATACGTATTCATACATTTCTAGATATCATTGTAGCATTTCAGGTGACCATAGTTGTAATTGACTGTCTTGTTACTCACATCAGCGAAGAGATACTCCTTCTCGACGAGACTGATCTCCTTCTGCACCGAGGTCCAGAACCATTCCGCCTTGACGACCCACGCCCGACCCGGTCCGTCGGGCCTCTCTAGTCCCGATGAGGCGTCCACGACCTAAACGACGGAGAAATTTAGAATGTAAAAGATGGCTGTATCTCGGTACCTCGTCGGAAGGACTAGTTCAACGACAATCAGGCTGGCCTAAGTTGACAAGCTACGGATTCGAAAAGCATCTGCTCGATGTCGGCTATTGAATTGAAGATTTCTAGAGATTTTGATGCTTTTCGAATGTGGAAATTTATAAGAAATCGAGACGGGATTGCATAGTCTGAGGGTGAACAAATTTAGAGAATGCAATTCTGTTCGACAAAGGTGAAAATTTCCTCTTGCTCTATGAAGATAGACAAACCGGCAAAATTAGGGGAACGGGCAAAGTTTACACCAATTTCAACTTCAAACTCCACCGTAACCCATTCGATTTTGATATATTTTCTCATGAATTGTAGCTTATTCTTTATGAATACATCTGACTGATTGTTATCATATTATATAGTCGTTTTATCGAGAATTTTTATTCATTAGAATGATTCAAAACTGAAATGTTCGGAAAATATCAAGCTACAATTTGGTGTTGAAAACTGTTAGGAAATTGTCAGTGGTTTACTCCAGAGGTCTCAAAAAGTCTTAACTTCCTTTCCGTCTCTCTGTATGATATACAGACGAATCATACAAACATGATAAGTGAGATGTATTAGTGAAGAATCAAGCTACAATTAAATACAAAAATTGATCAAGTAGAGAATCGTTCTCAGACCTAGTGTTAATTTAGCCAGTTCCCATAATTTATGTATAAAAACGGTATGGACTAACATGGATGAAACTTCTTTTTTAGTCAGAACCCTATGAGAAATTATGAAAAAATAAGTTTGTCAATCATTGCAACTTCAAAGAAATATAAATACCTACTACCCCTTCCTATTTTAGAAGTTGCATGTGAGAAGTCATTGTAAAACTCTTAGGACGAACGGAATATTTTCACGATGACCGATCTGTGATAAATACTCAGTGTTTCCTTTTTTTTGAATTCGAAATAACACTTGATATCTGAATTTTTGGAAACTCTTATTGGACACAGACTTTGCAGAAACTGTTATCATGACGATATTGTCTCCTAAGAGAAATTGATCTCTCGAAAAAATAAGCAGCATCATTCCACTTCGAGAATACAATCACTTGATTATAAATTCTGAAGAAAAAATCTCGATCTTTTTCCATAGGAATAAATTTCGACAAATTTGAGAATCAAGTCTGAAAGATTATTTTTGTTTTTCATTCCTGAGAATGTGTATTCATTTTCTGTTTATTCATTTCAATCACTAAACACCAATAATTGAACCCGAGGTAATGGGCTACTGGACTGGTAGTAAAATAATTGGCATTCATTTATTCCACTGTGATGATACGGACCTGAATTAATTTTTGCAACACTTACTTACGCGATTTTGATGTAAATAATGTGTCCATGTGTTTTTTTAAATTGTTGGCCATGTTCTGGATACCTCCGATATATGGTGACGTCAGTTCTTATGCTGCTTCATTATTGGTCAGATAATCTTCCGTTCCCACTCATGAAGCAAGGTTGTCAGATCACCAATTATGACTTATTAGAGCGCTAGTGTTGAATGAAACTGCATCCAAATAAAATATTTCATTTGGCTTAATAGGAGGAAGCCTTGATATTGTTATTAATTTGTGACTGTTTTGAGCAATCAGCTTGTCAAAATATTTCTTATAGTCCATAACACAACATCATAAATATCAAATATTGACTTGGCAATGCTGTGCTGAATGTTGTGAACTGACATGACAGCGCACACAATCCTGTGTTGTTGTGATGAATTGACGTAAATTTCATGAAGGATTGTAACAAACCTGTGTTATTATAGGTTCGGGCCTCGTAATTATTGAATGAATAGTGAAAAATGCCCGCCTGTTTTTTCCGATACGGGTAAATTTTGTTGGAATTATTTGTTAGAAGGACAATGGTGAAATATTGTTCGTATCACAATTTTCAAGGATCTAGATGATTATGGAATATTCAGTAACTTTTTGAAGTGTGAATTTCAGTTTCTCCCACAGAACAAAATGTCCCTTAGTCGAGTTCCATTACATGTTTCAACCTGTCATATGATCCTACTCGGAGGAAATTTTCACCGAGAAAAAAACACAACAATCAAGACAAAATAGAGTGAAATGGAAGTTAGTACCGCCACAGCAGACACAGTAGAAGTTCTCCTCGATGCTCGGGCAAACTCACTGCTAAGCTCACGATTGTTAGCGAAGGAAACGGGATTGAGGGAAATGTCGGGAAAACAACTGGCGTTCAACTTCTCCTTGCCATCAACGTCACTGGGCTCCCCGAACGACAGCTTTGTGGCATTCAAATCAGCGTTTTTGCGAAGCTTCTTTGAAAACTTCGAGGAGCTGAAAGTGCGTGCGAACAAGTTTTTTTTGGGGCATTTCTGCACCCCACGCGGTGTCAGCTCTGTGTCATTGTACGCGCTCAAATCCTGTACGGTGTCCACGTTGAACACCCCAGACGTCGAAATAACGCTTTCGTTCAAGCTCTGATTGAAACTAGAAGCGTCGATCGTCCTTCTACGATTAGAAAAATAGCTAATCGGCGTCTTGAAAAACTCGGAAACCTTGCGTTTGCGCTCGCTGTAGCTCTTGTCTCTTTTCCGCTTCACCAAGATGCTCGGTTGCTCGGGAGACGCGAACTTCCTCTTGCGCTTCTGAGGAGTACCGTTCGGCTCAAAACTCTGGTCGAAACAAATACTGTCCAATTCGTTATTGTCGTGGGAGTTTTCGTGCAACGTTTCGAGGCAGGCTATGCTCTGGCTGGCCTTGAAACAGTTGCTGAACGTGCCGTTTTGATTGTTGTTTTGTTGGGAAGGGGTCTTGGGGGTTTTGGGTTGGGGGGGCGGGGAGTTTTCTTGGGGCTTGGCTTTGGTGGGGGAGAGTGGTGCGCTTGCAGCTTCTAGTGTGTAGACTTCTGCATTGTCCATTACCTAGAACCCATGAGCGTGCAAGTTTTACTATACTTTGTGTAGTGATTAGTCTGTCTACATTTACATGATGAAGCAATTTCCATAATCCCTGAAGAATAATTCTGGCATGGGGAGATTGAAGTACCATATTCAGGTATCATGCAATTGATGTACAAAAAAAAAGTCTTCATGACTATATATGTTTTATGAAGATGCTTGAGAAGAAAGAAGTAATATTTTACAAAGAGCTAAATAATAATATATATATACCGGGTGTCAACGCATTTGTTAGGCAAGCCATGGTTGCCAGAGTTCCGAAGGTATGAGATTCAATTCTGGAAAAGGTGTAGGATTCGTGAATTGAAAAATTTTGCAATTGTTCTTATTTCACTCTCCCATCACTTCCAGTTTCACCGGAAACGTCCTAAACTTTTGATTTTCAAGTCGGACACCCTGTATTTTATTTCATAATCGGTTAGAGATTCTCATAACGAATGCAACGTTCGAAATTTCCATATACACAATGGGTATGACGGCGCAATATCGAAACTTATTTCTCTGTCACACTCATTGAGCAGATGAAAACTTAGAAAGCGAATATTCTCGTAATCGTTTGAAATAACCCTATCGAACCCGATATCGTTTAATTCGTTATGATAATCCCTAACCGATGATAGAATAAAATACAGGGTGTCTCATTTGAAAAGAAACAGTTAGGGTCGTTTTCGGAAGCGGTGAAGGAGTATGAAATATTGCAAAATTTTCCGATTCTTAAATCCGACACCTCTGTCAAACTTGAATCTAATACCTTCGGAACCCTGGCAACAGGGCTTGTCTAATGAATTCGTTGGCACCCGGTATATTACATCATCCTATCAATGAAAGTTCTTGAAATTTTGATTATCAATATGAATATACAGTCCTCTTCACGAACATGTCGCACATGGACGGTATCAGCTCTCTCAATCACCGCTGCAATAAGAGCGCTCATACCGTCCAACCGCGACATGTTCACTGAAGACGAGTGTACATGTAACTGCATCGTTTTGATGTGGTTTAACAGGAGAATGATGATAGTTTGAGTGAATAATGTGAATAAAATTAAAAAATCATATAATCTACATTTATCTACATTACTTGTATTGTGAAGGAATATTCTCAGATATAATATGACGTGAAAAATTGATTCACATTCTCTATGTGATAGAAATATAAATTCTTTCTCGGTATATTTAACAGAAAACAACTACTTTCCTGGCTATATGTCACGACTAGCATTGAATTATACTTAGAACTATATCTATTGAACACACACGATAAGGATTTGAAAATAAAATCTTCAGAAGTTGACATTTTGCATTCTCTTTCAGATGAAAATATGTATGTACATAATATCTTTATGGATATTCAACAGAAAACAACTACTTTTCTGGTTATTTGCCAAGTCGAACATTGAATTATATCTGTTGAACATCCAAAAGGAGATCATGAAAGATAAAAATCCTCTGAAATTGAGAATTGACATCCTCTTTCAAATCAGATAAATAATATGATGCATAATGATATGAATATATAACTTACCAATATATTCAGTAATGAAATGAAAATTGAAATGTATAGAAGTATATTTCTATGAATCTCATTTTGATACACCTAATGGTCTAGAAGTTATGACCTGTCTAATAGATTCGTTGACACCCAGTATAACTGACATATTCAAAACCAGTGAAAACATTAATCTGACACTCTCATTGATTTTATTTTTATTGAATTTTCAAATCTGAGATGGAGAATTTGTACAATACAAATTTTTAAGCACATTCATAGTCTCAAAAATTTCACTTCATCATATTTTTGATAACAAATTAAACATAAAACTGAAGTAGACAGACTCATCATAAAATAGTTCGTTCGATACTATCAACTAATACAATATTGTAATGTTCAATTAATTATGACTTACATTTAGAAAGAGAAAATATTAATTTTCCTAGAAGAACATGAATGGAAATTTTGTGTGCATTGAAATTCTGATCAAGATGGCATTGAATGCAAAGCCATTCATCTCTCTTTCTCTCTCTTTCAGTCGGGTAGCCTGAGAAAGAGTCAGATAAAGGGCCTTGTTTTCACTATCATGTTCATAATATTCTCGTGTACATAATTTCCTAGCTTTCAATCAACTGGATCAGAATTGTGATTGTAAGTATATATATAAGTTGGCAAGAATAATTAGGATTTAGCGAAACAATAGCTTGTTTTTATACTTTGGGAACCTTCAAAAATTATGAAATATGACTAGAAGCTCTAATGATTTTTAATAAAGTAAAATGCTCATGAAATGTCTGCACAAAAAGCCCTAAAATGATTTTGTTAACCCATAAGCAATAGGCATGAAAGAAAGAAAACAAAAATCAAAATGTTAGAAGATGATTCCATGAAATGATGAAAGGCATGAATAATGATGGAACAACAAAAAACATTGGAATCCCTTGAATGCCGACCTGGTTAATGGCCAACGCATACATTGATAAAAATATTTCAGGATGAAAACATATGAATAATATGAAAAACTAATTGATAGATATACTCACCACATGTGTACAATTTGGGTCGTCGACGTTTGTAATGGTCCCACCATTCATCATCAGCACTTCCTCCATGTGCTTTTCTTCCTCTGGGGCAAAACCCACAAAGCACACTTTGGCACCATGGAATGGCCTCAACTTGTGATCAGCCTAACATAAAAAAATTAATATACAAGGTGTTCCAGAACAACGTTCCATAAATTCTACAGGGTGAACCAGTGACCAAAATAGGCCGATTGAAATCTATTTACCTCTATACGAAAAATGCACCGTTAAGCCGTGAGAGGGCGATGAAGCATCATTTTATTTCCAAATTTTCTTTGATATTTCAAAATCCTGCAAAGGTACTGCTCTGAAATTCTTAGGGCAATTTACTATATTGAATGGGCATGGACGCGATGTCATAACAATTCGATCAATATACAGGAAGTTAGGTCTTCCACATTCTCTTTGATAAGAAATAATGGAACTATTTTTGAAGTACGACACCGACCACATTTCAATATTTCGATGAAGGATAAAATCAATTATCTCACTCATTTCTTACAGCAGTGTTTTTATAATTTTTCTTGGTTTTCGAGATATCTAAAAAAATTCATATTGCTGCTCTTCCATACTTGTTTATGATAGTAAATTATCATGTTTCATTTGTGTTGAATAATAGGGAATTTCACCATGATTGAATTTTTTTTCACGATTCAGAATACATACGGGGTAAATTCAGCATTTTTTCTATTTTCTCACGATTGCGGTTGACCCAGAAAAAAATTATTAAATGGAACCTAAATTCAAACGATAGCTCGAATGCGCGCGAAATATTGATGGTATTTCATTGGGCGAATACAAGGTGCGTCACACAGCGTCATACGCTTCGGACGGACATTCTCATTGGGTAATTCGTCTTGTCACTTGGTCTTGTCAACATTTGTTATTACATTTGTCACTCAATGAAAACTATATTCTTTCGTTCTGAACGTACAGGGTGATTCACCATAAATGTCCCCCCCTCTGGCTCACTTATTTTTGAACCATTTTAAAAATTTGAAAGAAAATCTAAAATGATTTTTCAGAAATTTCTTTCCCGTTGCATCAGAAAATACAGGGTGCTCGGAACAAACGATCTACAGAGTACTAATTGATTTTTCAAAATGGAACACCCTGTATTTTATTGTATTTTCAGATTCTTTCTGAAGAGCTGATTTCATCAATGCATCACACTTGGGGTTTAGCGGGAATGATAACAGAGATATAGGGTGTCTAAAATCGAGATTTTACAACTTAAGGATTTTTTTGTGCCGAAACTATTCATTATTGGTCAAAACGGCTTTCATGTTCCCATCTCAACTTTTGATTTACTATCTAGTGGAATTTAATTGGAACATTTATAGAGTGGTTCAAGATTCAGAATTCTGGTCACCCTGTATCTGTTCCAATTATTAAATGTCAGTAGATAGTGAATCAAAATTTAAGATACGGACATGAAAACCGCGTGACCGATAATGAATAGTTTCGTCACAAAAAAATCCTAAAGTTAAAAATCTCGATTTTGAACACCCTATATCTCTGTAATCAGTCCCGCTAGACCCCAAGTAAGATACATTGATCAAATCAGCTCTTCAGGGAGAATCTAAAAATACAATGAAAAATAGGGTGTTTCATTTGAAAAAATCAAATATTACCCTGTAGATCGTTTGTTCCGAGCACCCTGTATTTTCTGATCTAGCGGAAAAAAACTTTATCGAAAATCATTCAAGATGATATTTCAAATTTTAAAATCGGTTCAGAGATAACTGAGCTAGAGGGGGGGGACATTTATGGTGAATCACCCTGTACTGACACATTTCACTTGAACTGAACTGAATCAGTTGAAATGCAATGAACGTCATTTGAAAGAACGCAAATTAACTGATTCAGTTCAGTTCAAGTGAAATATTTCAGTTAATTCAGATTGAAAGAATGTCACTAATATGACACTGATAGATCACTGAAAATGAAATAGTTTGCTTTGTAGCCATTTTTCTCTAAGTCACAGATCACCCAACCAAAGATCCAACCACTCTGTGCTCGAGTTCTGTGTCTGTGGTTTTGTGCAACGCATCCTCTTTGGGTCATCAGAGGGAGCCTCAAGAAAATACAAGTGACGTCACACCGCGAAAAATGGTCGTTAGGGACTCTCTCAATTTGTAGCACTTTTGAAGTATTAATTAAACGGTTGTAAAAAAATCAATGGATGAGAGGGAGTGCTATTTGATATACTGAGTCATGTATGAGACCGTTCGCCATATAAACAGGGCTATTCTCAATCATAGTGAAATTGCCTATTGACCACAATAATCATGTTTATTTACTACTAACATATGATAATGTTGTTGGCCATCTTCAAATTTATCAATTTCTTCTTGAATAAAGTTTTTTACCCGAAATCCTGAACTGAAATTTGGAAATGACCAGCTCCCAAATCATATGATGATGAGATTGCGGATTGGTGTACATGATTATTATGGTCAATAACACAACACAAATGAGGTAGAAACGAGCAACATGGGTAATTCCAACATCATAAAGGAGTAGTATGGAGAAGTACCAAAATGGATTTTCTTATTTATCTAGAAAATCAAGGAAAATTGTAAAAAAACTGCGGGTACAAAAAGTTAGATATTTGATTTTGTCATTCATAAGAATATCAAAATGTGGTCAGTGCCACCCTCCAAAAATGTTACATCAATTTTTATCAAAGAGAATGCGAAATATCTAACTCCCTGTAAATTGATTGAATTAGTATGAAATGTTCTCCAAGCATATTCACTATAGTGACTTGCCCACGAATTTAAGAGCACTAACTTTCAAGAATATCGAAATATTGAAGAAATAAAATTGTTCTTCATTGCCCTCTCACAGCTTAACTTTGCATTTTCGTATCGAGATAAGGTGATTTCAATCGGCCTGTTTTGATTTGACCCTGTAGAATTTATGGTACGTTCTTGGAAACCCAGTAGAGAAGATTCTTCTGGGTACGAATAAAGTTAATTAATTCAAATTTCAAGTTTACTAGTTTAAAATATACTCTGCTTTCCATGCTATCTACTATATTCCTTACTAGGAAAAGAGGAGAAGCTTCCATTTCAATTAACAAATTACAACGGGAACGTCTCGTTTGCCCCAATTTTCGATTCGACCAACTTTCGATTCACGCAATTTTCGATTGTTGAAAAATGAATATACATTCCAGGATGAGGGTTCATTTGAACGAGTCAAATTAGATTATTCAAAAAAAGTGGTCTCATTTGTTATTTTAAGTTATTTTCCGAAAAATATACTTTTTCTACAAACGTCAAAAAATGACAAGGTTCGCGCATTGACAACAAATTGCGAAGTGACACTTTTTTTTAGTTTCCTACGATTTATATTTCAACTTAATGGTCCACAATCGAGCAAACATCCACGAAATCATTTATTACTGAATGTTCAATAAATAACTTCGTTTCATCTTTTGGAGCGCACGAAAAGAAATTCCTATTATGTTCGTGGAACTTCGTGCGTACCTAGGGAGGATCGGGGGAGGTCATTAAAGCCTGTTCAACACTATTTTTTATATCAAGCTGAGCATATATCCACTTTAGAACGATATTTTTTGAGGTTTGTAGAAAAAATGTTGTTTGCAACTCGAGCGCGAAATACTTTGGTCATCTCGACTATTTTTTTAACTCGGCTAAGCCTCGTTAAAAAAATCAGATCTCGATCACCAAAGTAGCATTTCGCGCTCTAGATACAAAAATAACTATTTTAGGAAGGTTCATTTAGGCAGAGTAAGGTTAGATCATTCACTAAGGCCTAGTAAGGTTAGATTGTTTTGAAAAAGAAGTCTCTTTTGTTTTTGGGAAGAACGTTCATTTAGGCCGAGTTAGGTAGGTTAGGTAGTTTGGAAAAGGTAGTCTCCTTCCTTATGCAGAAAAGAATATTTTCCTTCCTTATATTACGTCGAAATTTGGGTCGAATCGAAAATTGGGCGAATCGAAAATTGGGCGAATTGAAAATTGGGCGAATCGAAAATTGGGCGAATCGAAAATTGGGGGAATCGATAATTGGGTGAGTCGAACATTGGTTAAATCGAAATTTGGGTGAATAGAGAATTGGACAAATCGAAATATGTACCATACATACATATTATGTGCATCAAAAAATTGAAATATTTAATAACGATAAGCCCAGAATGATTCATCATTCAGATTTAACAACAACGCATCGTTAGGGTATATTCGGAGATGGTGGGCGAATCGAAAATTGGGTGACTCGAAAAATAGGGGAATCGAAAATTGGGCCAATCGAAAATTGGGTGAATCGAAAATTGGGCCAAACGCAACCTACCCATTACAACTTCTATAAAAAATTTGACAGCTCTGATAGGCCATCTATTGCATTTAATATGTAAACATGCAATGAATAAACCAAATTCTTATACAGGTTGTCACGAAATTACATATAAAGATTTCAACCACAAATTCTATGAAAGAAATGCCCCCCCACCACCCTGGGAGTTTATCTAAAGGAGAGCCCGAGATGATTGTTTTACGTGAATTATTTCGAAACCCTCAGTGATAAAATAACCTAATTTTGTTCATGTACCTAACTTTTCATGCCCGATTTGAAATTATTAATATTTTTCCGAAAAATTTAACAAGGACGTGGGAAATAAGTGGGGCTAGGGACACTTTTTCTCGCAATTTTCGGCAGTTTGACTAGGAAATATGAAAATCTCAACATTCTCACTCTTGATTGGTTTCGATCGCATTCACCATTTTCGAGATAAATCGATTTCAAAATTCTGCTGCATAGTGCTTTTTCCTGAATTTTTTCAAAAATTTTGGTTTAAAAGAAAATACCCCTTCTTTTACATCTAATAATCATAATTATAAGCCCAGAATGATTCCTCATTCAGATTTGGCAACAACGCATCGTTCGCTCGCAACATTCTCACTGCAAATGGTACAGAGTGCGCCTCTTAAAATGGAATCCCCCTTAACTCCTTCGTTTTCAGAGAAATGAAAGAATGTTAAATGAAAAAGTTGTGTCAAACGACCCAAACTTTCATTTCGTGAAGTTGTTTCATATACAGGGTCATTCGTTTTTCCAGAAACGACAACTTTGATTTTATTAATGGAACACCCTATATAATCTACGCTATGTCGATAAAACCTTTTTTTCTGATTTCAAATATATATATATGAGTTGCATATTTTGATGACAAATAGTTGAGCTATTGATGATCAAAATTTACCAAAATACCGCATTATGAACCTTCACTTCATATCATCTAATATAAGTTGAATATAGTGGGCTTTGAAATAACGTTTATATATTGTTTAAGCTCCATGGAAATGTCATAGTATTGTTTATTATGGAATTGAAATCGTTCAATCTCAATACAAAAAAATATGAATAGACAGTTTCAATGGAAGATTCGTTATGTTGGTAACCTTTGATAATCAATAACTCAATTATTTTTCATCCGAATATGCAACTCATTTATAATTTTGAAATAAGAAAAAAGGCTCTATGGACATGTCAGAAAATATATAAGGTGTTCTATTGAAAAAATCAAAGGTAATGTCCTTTCCGGAAAAACAAATGACCCTGTTATGAAGCAACTCAACGAAATAAAGGTTTGGGTCGTTTAAAACAATTTTTTGATTCAACATTTGTTCACATCTCTGAAAACAAAAGAGTTAAATGGGGGGTTCCATTTAAAGAGGCGCACCCTCTACTCTTGATTGGTTTGAGCCGGGATTGGCGCAGTGGAAGAGCGTCCGTCTCACGACCGCAAGGTCGTGGGTTCGATTTCCAGCACGGGCAAGGAACTTTTTTCAATATTTTATTTACGAATTAAATATTGTAAAGTTTCGGAGCATCGGCTGGGGATAGTCCTGCACGATTCGCTGTTGCGTTCCAATTAACAGTGCTGCTCCTAAAGTGGCGCATGGAGTTAGTAACAAAGCCTACACAGAACACGCAGAAAGATATGATGATGTGGTTGTGAGCATCAGAGAAGAAGTAGGACGGTGTATGTAGGTGGGTGTGGAAAACTACCAGCTGAGCGTGAGAGCGGGCCAGCTGCTTAAGTAGACCTCGGTCTCGGGGGTTAACGATGATAGTTAGCAGGCCTGCCACTGCGCATATGGTAGTGAGTACATTACTAGCCTACGTGTATGTAGGTGGGTGTGGAAAACTACCAGCTGAGCGTGAGAGCGGGCCAGCTGCTTAAGTAGACCTCGGTCTCGGGGGTTAACGATGATAGTTAGCAGGCCTGCCACTGCGCATATGGTAGTGAATACATTACTAGCCTACAAAACACAGCTGAAAAACTCTGAAAAGAGAGCTGATGGGCGGTGCCTGAAAAGGATGTTAGCCAGCTCTCTTGAGCGAACCACATCAGTCATTGAAAACACTTGGGGTTGGCAAAAAGGTCCCATTGGGGACTAGTTGCTGACGTGGAAACGTCCCCCACCAGTACCAGTACCAGTACCAGTACTCTTGATTGGTTTTGATAGCATTCACCATTTTCGAGATAAATCGATTTTAAAATTCTGGTGCATAGTTCTTTTTCCTGAATGTTCCCAAAAATTATGGTTTGAAAGACAATACCCCTTCTTTGAATCAACTAAACAGAAGTTCCTTTGATGTTCTCATATTTCCGGGTCAAACTGCCGGAAATTGCATAAACAAAGAGCATATTTTTTAAACAATGCATTTTATTGTACAGATGAATTTTTAGCAATGTGAATAATTTTAGATAACTGTGATGAATTGTGTCAATTGTGTAGACCTACCTGTATTAACTAGTAATGTTAATGAATAACTGTTGTACTACCTACTTATTTTAATTGTATATTTTAAATTTGACTAGTCCAATGAATTTTTTGTATATTTTATATTCTCATAATCTGTACAACAGTTCCCAGTGATGATTAAAGTATTTGTATTTTTTTGTAATTGTGTCCAGTTTTCGATGCTTTGCGTGATATCTCAGTTATCTTTCGAGATAGAACCTTGCGATTTACGCGGTCCTGTGCCACATTTCTGTGAAACCCAAGATGACCTAATTAGATTTTGCATAACTGTTTCCGTTTATGAGATGAAGGGCGATTTTCAAAATTTATACTTTTTGGGCCCACTCTAACGAAGCGTCTCAGCGAAAATGTCAACCTTAAATCTCATCCCATAGAGAATTTTACGTAGAATCCAGTGGCGCACAATTTTTTTTTCGGGGTATGGTTTTGGAGATACGACTCAAGCTTATGATTTTTCAAATGGAACACCCTGTATTTAATGAGATCATTAAATTCCTTATTTTTTCCCATCAAAATGAAATATAATGTATGAAAATAAAATTTTAAGAAATGCTCCAAAATCACTAAAACATTGAATTTTAACAGTGGGCTATGGATTTTTCATATAAACAAAAAATCCAGAAGGAATATTTCTTTTGATTTTTCCATGAAGAGGACAAAAACAATACCAACACTAATTAACTAAGAAAACAAAAAAAAATTGTGCCTGATAGCAACAAATAAATAGTAATAAAAAGTTCATAATGTAGAATATGTACCAGATTAAATGATTACATAAACAATAATTGACTTTTTTGGTTTTCAAAATACTAAGACTGACCCACTGGAAAGCAGGCATCCCCCTGACATTTTTATTTATCATATAATGTTGACAAACATTTTCCTTCTAAGAAGGAAAAAATTACAATCATGAAATTATATTCAAACAGTCTTGACTTTATGCAGTCAGTTGGAAATACACATCACCACAAGCCGTCGGTTCCTTTGAAAGTTCAAAGAGTGCGGTAGCGCGGCCCGACATTCGTTTGATGATCTGTTCAACTGACTTTGCATAAACTATAACTATAGTTTCAGCCTAACGGCCGTCATCAGATACATACTTGTACCTATTTTGAAGACAAACAAGGACAATAAAGCTTGTTTGTAAGTGACTTCTGTAGTCAACAGACTTGTAGCAGCCCGACTTTTCTTATGAGATTTACTGGGCCACTATGAGAATGGATTGTTTCTATGACTTACTTTTTAATGGCAAAACAAACTACTCATTCAAAGTGACACTTTTTTAAACAGAAACTAAAGCCTTGCCTACATGTTAGGGTATGAAGATTGAACAATTTGGAGGCACTCAATACATGGGTGTAATCAGATTTACCTAAGAAAATCATTAATTATTGAGATTTTCACCTCCAAAAATTCAAACAGTAGGTCTTGATTTTCATGCAAAAAAAGTACGTAAAATGCCCATGTAGATTTGATGCAAGAGGAAAATAAAAAAAAAAAATCTTATAAAAAGTACGTTATGACCTGAGGAAAAATATTAGTGGTTTGATTTTCTCTTTGCAAGAGGATATGTTTCTCAACTTTATTTTTGAATTGGGTGATATTTGTGCAACTTTTGATATCATCAGGTAATTTTATTTATTTATTTATTGAATTTTGAGATGGCCTGGTGAGTAAACTTTTTCTGCCGAGTATAGAATTAGCTGCATCAAGATGAATCAAGTCATATTGTCTAGTGTGATTATCATGGATTTGGGAATTTCTTACCAATATAAAGTTAGATGTGAGGTGTTTATTGGTAATATTATAAGACATTTTGAGAGTATTGATCAGATAGTGCTCTTCCAAAGAAAATGTATTTGTTTCTTCATAGTTCATTTGATAGTGAGTCATATGGAAGGGGATACAGTTCTTTCAATGCATTTTTATATGATATAGTAGAGATAATTTGTTAAAATTATTCTTGGAACATGAACCCCAAATATTTATGAGATGTGAGAGTATAGAATGGTATTTGCTATATTTGGGCTAAGTTTTGGACATCTTCTTAGAGCACCAACTATGGGAGAAATTTTTTCTTTGAGCATGCCAATATGCTTGTCCCAAGTTGAATTAACTGGTGAATCAAGTAAACATTTTGTTACCAAAGGTATTGCACCAATATATGTATTTTTGATTGTTATGAACAGGTGGGTTATTATAGGTTGCATAACAAAAATTAGAATCTCAAACTATGAAGTTTTTTACCTGTGGCACTTGTAATACTGATCAAATGTTTCAATTTCAACAAAACTCATAAGTGCCAATATCTCCAAAACTATAAATATCTCACTAAAGCCATATTGTTATATTCTGGTGAGTCATTGTGCTGGACTATCAGCCCCCCAAAGAATAATAATTTTGAGTTATATTTTGTTGCAAAAGTACAACCTTAGATGTTTTTTTACCATATTTGGGTTATTATAGGTTGCATAACAAAAACTAGAATTTTAAACTATGGAGATTTGTACCTGTGGCACTTGAAATACCAATCATATGTTTAAATTTTCACAAAACTCATAAAAGTGCCAATATCTCCAAAATATTAAAACTTTTTTACTAATTTAAGATTATCTGTATCCTGTACCTTGAGACACCAAGGGTGAGAGATAAAAAAATATAAAACAAAGTGTTCAGAAAATTTGCTGATCAATGCTTTTCTACTTTTCTAGAAACTTGTTTTGGTATTTCTATATATTTTTAATTTCATGTCAGGAACCATCAAATTAGCATTTTCAATGAAGTGTTCTCTTTATATTATTTGTTCAAAATATGCTCATAATGAAAAAACCCACTAAGTTGTTCACACAATTTTATAATTTCTTTTTCAATTGAAATTCAATTAATATAGCTAACTGAGGATGAGAGCTTGATGAACTATGTACATATAAATATTTCCTGATCAAATTATTTGAATAGCAACAATCAGTGATTTGCTGCTAGTAGAAAATCATAAGGGTATAGGCAATCAAACTCTCAACTCAACATTCAAACAATATTTATTGAAAATCTGCAATATAAAAATTAAACAATATATATGTTAGTAGGTACCAAACAACAGCAAAGCAAATATTATTTAGCAATCTATTCCTCCAAAAAGCTATCTTTATATAGAAAACATACCACAAATGTATCTGAAGTTGCATTGAAATCCAACTGATGTCTATGCTCCCAGCTCGCATGTACCCATTGGAGATTCATCACAGGTAATCTGAATGTAGCTGCATATTGATATTTGTCTCCTCCACCAACATTGGCAATCAAATGTGTTATCTTTGCTGACATTTCCTTTCTGATGGAACCACCCATGTGATGTATCAAAGGTACTAATTTTGTCTAAAAAATACAGGTTCTTAGAGAACTTCAGGTAACCAGACTGAAAAAAAATAGCTTACTAATTCATCCTTATTCCTGAATCCTGTGAAACAAACAACAACTCCAGTCATTGACAAGTTGAAAAGTGGCCTAGTGTTGTTTGGAAGCTTCTCCTTTTTGGCAGCCAATTGTTGGAGAGCTGGGGGACCCAGAAGAGGCTGTTTTGATTTGTACAATCTATTATAGACATCCCCTTCAAAGTTTGCAAGTACAAATATAGTGGTGCAACTATCATCTTGAGCATATTCCAGTCCATCTTTTGATGTCACTACAGGAACTCCAAATGTTTCAGCAACAGCATGTAGGTTACTATCCTTAGCTAAGTCACCAACTAAACACAGTCTTGAGTCCATTGGAGGTACTAGGGAATTGAATGACAATATTAGTATGAAAAAAGATCAACTTTTCAGAACTCAGAACCTTGAATGATCAACATAACCTATCTTTTAAAGATGTAGGTTTGGAGTTTGACCATGAAACTAGTATGGTAAAAAAATTATTTTGCATTATATTTAAAGCTTACCATCGTTTCTAGAAGTGTCATCACCGTTTGAATCACTACATATTGAGCCTTGAGGTTGAATGAGAGCTTTAACTTCGTCCATTTTGGCGAAGCGACTTTTTGGTTACAACATCGATATTTGAACAAAACAAAAATAACGGATTTTTCACAAATGAATAGGACGAAAGTGCTTTTATAAAATAGTAAATTTGCTATTACTGCATATTATCGACTCTTTCGACCACTTTAGCCATATTTTTTATTCGTTTTTACTTTGTTTGGAACAAAAACTACATCATTTTACTTGAAGTTGATTTGAGTATTTCTCATTTCTCATTGGTCTCAGCACTCTCAGCCGTCATTGGTCGATTTGATTCGAGAATTTTGACATGAAATATGTTGCCAACTGTTGCCACGAGCAAAAACTTTAAAAGTACTAGAACTTTACGAAAAAGTACTCAAACGTTTTCCGACTAGTGATTATGTTTTTTGTCCAGAGAAAATTTGCGAAAGCGTAGAAGGGCCATATACGTATTAATAAACAATACGGATCATAACGGGTGCCAGGATGAAGCCAAAAATATGAAACAAATGAATATCCATAAGGATTTGGTGGCATTATACGCATGCGCCATGCGCTATTATAGTAGTCATCAAAGACATGCGTTTCGGTGGACAACATGGTGGACAATGACGTTTACTCATATACGTATTAATAAACAATACGGATCATAACGGGTGCCAGGATAAAGCCAAAAATATGAAACAAATGAATATCCATAAGGATTTGGTGGCATGATACGCATGCGCCATGCGCTATTATAGTAGTCATCAAAGACATGCGTTTCGGTGGACAATGACGTTTACTAGCCTTTCAATCAAAGCAGTATGTGTCTGATCGTTTCAAAACTTTTCCTTATGGATAGTCATTTGTCTTCAAAAATCGGCTTCATGTTTCGCCATGGAAACAGATAGAGATTATCCGTATTGATTATTAATACGTATATGCGTTTACTAGCCTTTCAATCAAAGCAGTATGTGTCTGATCGTTTCAAAACTTTTCCTTATGGATAGTCATTTGTCTTCAAAAATCGGCTTCATGTTTCGCTATGGAAACAGATAGAGATTATCCGTATTGATTATTAATACGTATATGAGAAGGGCCAACAAGAATAGAATAGTACAATTTACTGCAACTTACAACTTGCAGTAATTCGAATTTCTGGTACTTATACGTTGCAGTAATTCCAATCACTGCTACTTATAAGATGCAGGGATTAATTACTGAATGATACAGTATCTTGAATTAATGCAAGTTGTAAGTTTCAGTAATTCGAGTAAGTATATTTTTTTATTATTGGTGACCCTTCTACGGTTTCGTATGAATTTTGTTGAATTTGGTCACTATCTTCACTTGTGAGCTTCTCACACTGACTTGTCTTTAGTAATCACGAGGACATGAATTGAAAAACAAAATAAATCAATGTACTTTTCATGTTGAAAGGTGCTAGATGTAGAAATGAAACCTGTACACTAAGTACGAAGAACGGCAACACTGCAGATAGTGCGATCCACAGACACAGAACTAATAGTTCTGTGTCCACAGAGCACAGTAATGAATTCTGTGATTTGGACGTAGAAACGCAACAATTCAAATAACCATGACTTCCGATTAGAACACATTTTTGACCAATCAGAACTATTCTAGCTATAGCGGTCAATTCAAATCTCTGAGCCCACCTCGTGTTTTTTTATATCTCACAGTTATGAGCTTGCCAAAAAAAAATCGTCGAAGTCTCTAATCATTATTCATTACTTACCGGACGGACGGCTTCAGCATGGTATTGCCAATAAACGTGTAGGGTGGATACATCCTGATGGATATACGATCGTTACCGCATGTGGGTAACGATACGATGCGCAGAGGCGCTGTATATTACTGTAAACCATTTTCCATTAAAAAGCATTATTCGGATTCAACTAATTATTCACAAAAAAGTAAGTTGATATGACCGCCGAACAATTTGGTTGGATCAGAGGAGCCAACCACTTCCGCGAACAATATTCGAGGACAGGTCGGATCTGTACCTTATAGATCATAAGCAGCTGACTGGAAGTGAAATAGCTCCTGACCCGAAACAAAAAACCAAGTTTTTGGGATGCACTTTTAGCAATTGATCTCACGTGATTTTGCCAAGAAAGGTTTTATTGCTGATAGTAATACCAAGCATGGAAATGGATGTCTTCAAAGGTATAGTTACTCCTGAGAAGCTTATTATGTTGGGCACAGTGAGATCGGCTTTTCTAGAGAAAAGGCATGCTTGAGTTTGTTTGCATTGAAATCTACCAAGTTATTGATGGATCCCCATTCGAGAATTGTTGCCAAGTCCATATTTATGTTGCCAACATTTCTTCCTCTTTCGTTTCTGAAATCTACCATTCGATTGGTATCGGATGGCATTATTTCTACTTTGTTATCCGTTATACCGAATAAAGTGCCATTTTCAATCATTTTGCTCAGGATAGTGATTGGCACAGGCATATGCCGTTCGAATGAACTATATTGGTTTTACATGTCTTTGGCACATACAGAGTGCGTCTCAGCTAAAAATTGCTCGAACAAGTCGATTTCAATTTGGCGGGGAACACATTTTTCTCCAATCATCATATTCCAAAGTTGAAACCTTGAAGCGTAACGGGCATCAACTTTCGATTTTCAACTGCGGAACACCCTGTATTTCATTGCATTTTTAGATTCTTCTCCTTTCATCAATGTATCACACTTGGTGTCTAGCGCGGGAATGATTACAGAGATATAGGGTGTTCAAAATCGAGATTTTTTAACTTTAGGATTTATTTGTGTCGAAACTATTCATTCATCAGTCAACACGGCTTTCATGTCCCTATCTTAACTTCTGATTTACTATATCTACTGAGATTCAATTGGAACAGATACAGGGTGATCAGAATTCTGAATCTTGAACCACCCCCTGTATTTGTGCCAATTAAATGTCAGTAGATAGTAAATCAAAAGTTAAGATCGATAGGGACATGCAGCTGTTTTTGACCGATAATGAATAGTTTCGACACAAAAAAATCCTAAAGTTGAAAATCTCGATTTCGAACACCCTATATCTCTGTAATCATTCCTGCTAGACACCAAGTGTGATAGTGATGAAAGCAGCTCATCAGGAATAATCTAGGAATGCAATGAAATACAGGGTGTTCTATTCGAGAATCGAAAGTTGATACGCTTCAAGGTGTCAACTTTGAAATATGATAATTGCAGAAAAATGTGTCTCTCGCCAAATTGAAATCGATCAGTCCGAGCGATTTTCAATGTTTTTTAATAAATCGGAGATTTGGAGGGTGACAAGTTCTAGCTGGGACACACTGTATATCATTTCGTTATCAGATGACGGTCGAAATTTGCAGCCGGCTTTTGAAGTATGATATTTTATATGTACAGTCATCTTCAGAATACATGTCGCACATGGACGATGATAGCATTCTTAATAATTCTTGCAATAAGAGCGCTGACACCGTCCAACCGAGACATGATCTCTGAAGACAACTGTACAATAGTGTTACCTGATGACCTCCGTTGGATCGAAACACATTTTTTCCTAGTTGAAGAGTTGGGACCCTCCCCAATTTTATAGTGTAGTTGTAGGAACAAGTCGAACGAAAATTATTTTAGGTTTATTATTCTTCATTTCAATAATTGAAAAACAATACATCACCTTGTATAAAAATATGAATGACGTTATCAATATCCTAGAAACAAGTTGACAAAATAAATCCTCAATACCCTTTTGAAGGGCTTATTTTATGTTCATTGAAAAAACCATTATCATTTTCTCAAGTTTTTCTGATTCTAGAAATATATTTTATTGGTACTTGATGGTCACCATGTTTATTTGTATCGCCCTGAAAATCTTCAAACTGTACTTTTAATACTCTGTTATTTACGACCGATTAATGGAATGTTTTATGAAAAAAGTGGGACTGTTTATCGTATTGAGATCGAAAAAAAATTGTGAATCATTCGACTACAGAACACTGTTCTGAGAATCTATTATCAGTATATCGTCTACTACGCAAGTGTGTATATGTGTGTGTGGTGAAAACTGACTGTTAGATTATTTGAATTTGAATTTTTGGACATTGAAAAGTGTACCCAAAGTGCATGAGGAAAGGATGCCGGTGAGTTGATATCAATGCTTCTAGATCAAATTCGACACCAATTCTTATGATTTTCCTCTCGGTTTTCATATTTTTTTGCTTGCCGATCTACAAGAGTTCCGGATCTTCTAAAGATTCAGATTTTTAGCTGAAAATTTCAATTTTCTTTCCAAAATTTCGACTTCAGAGTGAAAAATTCGCCGTTTATTTCGAAGTTTCAACTTTTATCTCGAATGTTTCAACTTTTATTACCAAAATTCCTACTTTTTTCCAAATTTCGAAATTTTATCTGAATGTGAATTTCTAGAACACAACATCGAGTTTAAAAATCTATTGGCCAATAATAGTTATTCTACAGTGTGTGATCCTATGATGGGATATTTCAAAGAAAAATTCATTCACTTGACAATTTTTGGTAAAACTGCATTTATCAGGCGATGGTTTTTTTTCGAAAATATTTTTTGGTACTCGCGTATTTTTGCCTGAAAAACACGATTTTGATAATGAAAATGTGAACAAACCAACTATTTATCGAGATATTTCAAAAAAAAATTGAAATTTCGCCTTCTTTCTCCCTTTGTGTTGAATGCATTTACAGCTACTTGCTCTTCTTATTTTGTCATTGGACACTTTATTTATATTCTCATGATGTACTTCAATGACACATTTTGAGATAGAAAATTCAACAGGAAATCTGATTTTTATGGCGAGATTTTGCTATTTAGTGAGCAAGCATACCAGATGATGGCCATTTAATCAATATTCAATCCAAATACGAGATGTCAAATGTCAATAGATTGCTTTGGAATGACATAACACACGCCATTATTTCAAATGATATTCTTCCTTTTTTTCACTAAATATGGACAAATCTCAAGAAAATCATATTTCTAGTTGACTCATAATATGATATAGATAGATATG